CGTCTCCTTTCTTCCGCACTCTAAACCATTCTCCATCAGATAAATGTTGATAGATGTTGTATCAAGACTAACTGCCAGCAAAGCCCCGTTTTTCGATATTGCTAACACTGGTGTATCAAAACCAATTAGACTCGGATCGCCTTGGTGGTGGAGGTCGAAAAGATGCCATCCGTCACGTAGACTGTACACACGAAGTATTTTCTTCTTTGGCTCAGCTTCAAAATACACATCTGATTTGATCATCCTCGCTAAAAATTGAAAGTAAACTTTGCGCTGTAGGCCTTTCCACTTATCCTTCATATTGTGTCTATATGCCCTCGGGATATCACGCTGCCATACGCTAGTCTCATCTAAGGTCTTGTATGGTTCTGTATGCTCTGGATCAATTTTATAATGAAAGATGCCTTCTTCATTTGATATCGTCAATAGCCATTTACCCTCGTCGGTATCCGATACAAAATTAACTACGCCAGCAACCTCATCTAACGGTGTTTCTATCCTTAACCATTTATCGGCATTCTTACGATCCATCACAAGTACATATGTAGAGCTGTGATCATGCGAATGGGTGCTCCCATGCGATCCGAAGCCGAACGTCTTTTTTCTAGAAGAGCTTCCAGATTCTAAATCAGAGTTTGTTTCAAGAGTTATTTCCTCAGTTGGAAAATAGGAAAGCGCAACCAAAGTCTTTTCATGAACATTCGCATTGGATATGGCAAGGCTCCATGTTGGCATATCGGAACTTGGGTCGTAAGCTGCTTGCATATAGTTTGCATTGATTGTATACGATTCATCGGAGACTTTGGAGATTTCATTTCCGTTGACTTTGTGCGCTGTCAGATATCCAACGATCTCTCCTTTGTCTTTTTCTTTTAAAATAAAATTGAGTGGGGGGTATAAATGAGTTGAACGTTAAATAAGTCTGTAATCGCTATCCTTTTGATGAACTTACGAATGCTCAATTTGACAGCTTCTTTTCCATTATTGCTTATGGCGATATGATATCGCCATCCTGGTTTAGAGTAATAGTCTTGCTCCATTCATGCGGCTTTCCAACCTTTTCTCTCTCAAATGCACTATTTATAATTCATGATTAACTTTATAATTGTGAAACGTGCATGTCGATATGACATGTAACCATACTGGTTGATAATCACACTTTGTGCATCGTTACAACACAGTTACCATTATAGTCTGCCCTGATCGGTCTTGATAAGACATCCTTCTATTGAAGTCACAATTAGCAAATTGACAACTTCATTTGCAATATGGAATGGGCAATTTGGTGATTTATCTTTGGGTGTGAATTCGTCTTTCTAGTTTGTGACACGGCATGACTTTATAGTAATTGACGTGTACCTGTTTAGGGTCGTCGATCATCTCGTCGTGTAACGGTTCGAATGTGCAGGGTCGAGCAGAGCGCCCAGATAGTGAATGCCAAGAATCGAACAGATTTACGCCTAACATCTCTATGGGAATGTACTTGCTGTATTTAGTGTTATCAATTAAGCAGGTCTGCGATTGTGATATACTTCTTACACTATGCACCGATATCCTATGAACAAGCATTTGTTCTTTGCAGATAACGTTGCCCAATGGCTTTAACGTGATTGATGAATGGATAAAACCAACCCATTGGTTTAGAGTTCTGTTTTCCCACGATCCGGGTCACTCGTCCTTTGATACATGTTTAACAAGGCTTCGTCGCGTTCCTTTGGTATACGTCAAATAGACCCCGTCCTCGTACTTCAAATTACAGTAGTAGTGGTCATAAGTACGGAACCCAAATTTGGGCAAACGATTTTGAAAGTTTCCATCATTATACCAGTATCCTTTTCTTTCGGTTTTCCGTTATCATTGCCGTCACGAGTATTTTCGCAGAATGTGAAATAATCGATGCTTATTATTTTGAAAAGCGCCTTTCTTCTTCTCAGGCTTCTTTTTCATCGTTCCTAGGCGTTATTCATCGTCACTGGTTTTAATTAGATCTTGTGTCAAGTGAGAACGCCCTCCAGTGATTAAAGATTTCATCAAATCGAGTCCACTTCGAGTAGACTCCATTACCATTCATCAAGATAACGTTAGTAATTTGATGTTTGATTCATCGATCTATAGCCACTTTACAGGGATCAACTGGCCATTAATGTGCCATTTGAGATTCTGTAAATAGTAACAGGGATCCTACCGGTTGTGCTTCAGGACAGGAATAATCAAACGCTTTGAGATTTTCCCTGCGATATAGTGTATCTGTAAAATTTCAAATCAATCGGATGCCTACAACAAATTTTACAAACATCTGTCTGAACTGTTAAAAACCATATAAAACCGACGCTTATTAGGGACATAAACTTTTAGAAATCCATATCTCCACCTTGTTTCTAAACTATTTGCATAATTTTTTCTTGCTAATTTTACGTTCTCGGAAAATTAGGAGGAATCTGTTACTATATTTGGGGCATGTCTAAAACGGAGCAGATCCCTCGCAATTCCATTGGTCAAATTTGTATGGCAGCCAATAAAACTGCAAATACAGGATCACGTTCTGCTCCGCTTTAGCCTTTCCCTATATTTGGCATGATACATCAATTATCATTTATTATTTGCAAATTTTTAGTAACTTTTGCCGTAAGCATCCGATCGATCTGATTTTACACATAATCAGGGTTTGTAAATTACAACCGGTAGGATACTTATGACTGCTACTGTATGTACAACATAGGCGTTTACGTCTGGGTGGCGCTCCCATATTTGTATACAATTCCTTCCGATAAGAAATTGTCATCTGTCATCTAATCATACACCTATTATCTTATTATCGTCCGGGACCCATGATTATATCTTCATTCATCAAGTCATCTTTGAATTTCTTTGCTATCTTTTAGTTTAGGACGGTAAAAGAAATAAATACATATAGTTTGAATACTCTAAATCTTTTTGAATCCCAATTGGACCTTCTTCAGAATTCCCCTTTGTCTGTGACATAATGTCATATTGCCAGCCCATCTGACGCCATAAAGATTCGGTCTTTTATAAAAGAAGTAATTCGGCAAATTATTTCTATATTTCTATCCTGTCTGTACGTGAAGAACTTCCATACAGTAGCCATTAGTTCGTGTGTCTTCATTAGCTTCTATTGATGAATTCAATATATTCTATGCGATTTCGATATATCTTTTTTCCGCACTCTGAACCATTCCGAGCATTACTCTCCTTTGCGACGCGCCCGCATCAAATAATATTGACAGATGTTGATCACCTTGATCGAAAAGATGCCACCCATCACGTAGATTGCACATACGAAGTGTTTTCTTCTTTGGCTCAGTATGCCCTCGGAATATCACCTACTATACGCTAATTCATCCACGGTTTTGTATGGCAGAACATTATCATAATAAAGATTCCTTCTTCATCTGATACTGTCAGTAGCCACATATCCGAGTTGAGGTGCGATACACTCATCTAATAACGTTCTTATCCTTTCCATTTAGCAAGATTCTTACGATCCATCACGAGTACATACGTAGAGCTGAATAATTTTGTTTCGTAGGCTATTTCTTTAGTTGGAAAATACTGAATAGGAAAGCGCAACCATCATTCGCATTGGAGATGGCTAACTCCACGTTGGCATAGTAAAGTTGGGTCGTAAGCTCCTTGTATATACAATTTTGGATGAAAGTGGAAGGCTTAATCCCGCGTTAGAGGGTAATTACAACAGGAGAATGTGTGATCACGTTACCATGCGTTTTGTCGATCGTTTCCCTAATCTGTTAGTCTAGCAAGTTAGGACCTGTATACTCTGAGCCGCCGAAACGTAGAAGGCTTAATTACTATCTGTTATCAGTGAGCTGTCACTTTACGCTTGTACTTCTAATAATGTAGGGAGTATCCTGTGCATAAGAAATAGTCATGCACCTACATGCGATTGTGGGAAATGGAGTATCGTGACGTGCATATTAGATACGCATTGGTTGTATAATTGTTTATTGTTTTTGAAGCATGTTGTGGAAATGTTCAGAAGATATCCGAGTCAAAGTAGCGAAAGCTACACTAACTACTGTTTGTAATTTAGATTACCTTCCTTTCTCCAACCATTCAACAAAACTGCAGATTGAGTTCGTGGTTAGTTTTATTACATTCTAATTTATCATAAATTCTGTGTGACTATTATTTTATAATTATATAAGGTTATGTAAATGTTTTATAGCATTAAAAAATGTTATTTTCCTAATTATAAATCAAACAGAACAACCGATAAAGACGGCGCCACTTGCAAAGACTGGCACTAACAAACAGCTATTACTAACAAACGATACGGCACTAAAACCAACAATATTTTGACTGCACTAAAGCCTTTTTTCTCCTAAGGTACAGAAAGCACTAATACTAATAATACTCACTTCTTTTCCTTTCCCAAATTACGAACACTCAACTTCTTCAGAAACCCGAATTAGGGGCAACAAAAATCATTGAATTCTGGGTATCGGTTCGTGGGCTGATACAATCCCCATTGACGCTCATTGGACCAATTCCATTTGTTACCTTTCCATCCATTCCGCCTATGTTGTCCATCCCATTCATATTCTGATCGATTGCAGAGATTCTGTATGTGATAATTCCGTGTGTATTTCCGACTCCATTCACGGTGTTTTCTGTTTGCGCATGTCCTTGAACATGACCCTGTCCATTTCCATTTCCATTTGCAGCATTCCCACTTGTGTTCCCAGAGTTGACGCTCGCATTTCCATTATTCCCACCACTATTACCTTTGTTCACAGCGCCATGCCCGTTTCTACAATACGGCGCAATTAACTGGAAATACCCCGGTCCAACACTCCCATGATTGTTTCCTCCAGGAATATACCCGTACTGCGCAAACTGGCCGTATAAATTCGCTTGCTGTCCCGGGAAACCCTGTGATGGAAACGTTGGTGAGATATGATACGATTGCTGCGTCAATGGAACTGTGTTGGGAATGGGAGTAGGCGGATTGCCTAGAGGATGCGGATGCGGGGTGGGATATGGCCCGGATTTATAGTAATAGTTGAAGACTAGCGTGAGCGATGTTCGAGAATTATAAGTGGATAAGGATCCATAGCAAGCGAAGCAGTAGCGTCAGAAGGGTAGAATTGTATTAAATTGAGATGTAAGTAAAAGGGGTCGAAAGAAGACGATGCATATGAGTTGATTAGTAGTTGGTGTAAAAAAACATAAAAAGAGGGAAGACAATGACAATAAGAAACTAGTACCATGACTTTCGCATGAGTTACCACCGGCTGCTCCGTAATTGTATGCTCCGCTAAAAGTACTGAAATTGAGTGTGAATAAAAACATTAAAACATTGCAAATGGCAATTGAGGCGTTTTTGCGAATCGTAAACTTAGTTTCGTTAATGTCTCGATCCCCCATGATTTTCCATGACTATGTAAACGATCGTCCTTCCGTATACTTCTCACTCACTCTCCTCCCTATTCACCTATACGACTTTCTTGGCGCGTTCGGGTCACCTTTGACCGAACACCCATTAGGTCCAGATACGTGAGTTGCTTGCAATCCCTTTGGTCCTTTAATTATGTCGAATTCGACCTTCATCCAGATCATCGTGTACCCAACGATTGGGCGAGTGTGATACAATCGAGGAGAAAACAGGCGCAGAACAGGAATAAAGTGAGTATCATTATGATTACAGCGGGTATCATTAGGAATAGAAGATCGTTACGAAACAAGTGGTAAATCATTAAATTATTGTGTTGGGTCGATGACTTTTCGTTGCAGAACGTGCATACATACCTCTTCTCCCTATTTCGTCGTACAAGACAATAAGATACAGCGTATAATATTAGTAAATACCAATATAATATACATGTGGCCTAACAAGTCACAAATGCAATCATAAACCCCGGCCTCAGCGCTGTTTGTACCTCAGCAAGACTCTTGAATCCACCGTCGTTGTGAATAGCGGTGTGGTGTACGAAGACTTTTTTTTTTGAAAGAATAAAGATAAAACGATAAATCATAAGATCATAAACGAAACAAATTACTCAAATTTGATGTTTCATATTCAAGCGTTGAGAGTGTTGAGGTGTATTCAGATATAAATGTACTCGGCCACATTTCTCATAACTTAATGAATCACGCTTGAATACTGTAACAACTGAACGAGTCTAGCTAGACTCATTTATGGGCATTTCTTAATAAATATTCTCAAACAAAGTTAAATCTTGTAACGCTGTTTTCTCTCCAAGTCTCTCCTCTGTATGTTCTCTTACCCTCAAGTTTATTCTCTTCAAAGTCAGTTGGAATAATAAAACCATATCCTTTTTGGCTATTGAAAAACTTGACGCGACCAGTTTTACGGCCTGTGGAAGCAGTCATTATTGGATTCTTCTACGATGCGTTGATTGATCTGATACGCAATAAAGTTAATAGTACGAGTGCGGCCTGAATGGCGCAAGAGTATTTTAACGTAGGATAAGAATGAAAAAGAGGGGAAAGGAAGAGAGACGGAATAGAGAGTGTGAAACAAGTGGATAAGTATGCGGCAGAGAGTGAAAGAAAAGTGGGAGAGAAGGTGAAATGTTTTAAGAGTATTTGTATTCGATCCGAGGTGGCGGTGAAAGTTGCCTTGTTGTGATATAGTGTGATTTTGATTGATTGTCTAATGACGTGTTTGATGATTATACCTAAAATATACAACAATCAATTCCTAACGAATGATACTCGGTAATTGGAACAACTAAAGCAGGCTGAAACATATCACAAGTCCAGGGGTTCAAACCTAGATACCCCAGTAATCTTAAAACTTAATCTAACTGTAAAAGAGATAAGCCATAAAACTTGTATTTTTAAAACATGAATTCTCACTGTTAACTTTCCGTTTCTGGTCAGGAAGATTGTTATTTTCACATTGAATTATCACACCCAAGTAACTCACTGTCCAAATTAATGTTTAATCATCCAAGGACAAAATGCGCCTATGCCCAATCACATTTTATTGGTTAAAACTAATAAATAAAGAAAGATGCATATATCAATGATACGCTTTTTTCATATCAACTTAAGCAGAACAAAAACTTACTTATTCTTTTTGTAGCCCATTATTTATTTTTCTCATGTTCGAAATTTCAGTAAGACATTCTGCGCGCCTCACTCAAATGGGTTATGTGGTCGAGTCCGCTATTTAAATTATTAATCAGGTATCGTACAAATTAATTCTTGAGCCAGTTGTTGTATTATACAGCAACAAGTATTTAAAGCAAGACTATGGTTTTAATCCGGTTCGTCATAGTAGTCATTTTTGTCGACATAGCTCGTTAATATTGTATTTTATTGGACTCTGCAACAAGAATTTTATTCAATCAAACCGTATTAGTATTTGCGTGCAATTATGATGTAGCATATACCAGGTTGCAAGTTATCATATGTTTTATTCAGTGGTAATTCTTTGAGGTAAGCTCCGATATGTTTTTTTTTGTTTGAAACGGAAAAAAGCCTTGATGTGGTATAACCATGGTTAACTATTAATAGAGAATTTTATTTCACGCCCTAAATGCGATTATGAGAATAGATTAAAAAAGTTATAGCACTTTGGATCGTATAGGTGGTGCCATCCTTTTCTTTCCTTTCGCGGTAACCTTCGTATCTAACACCTATGTATAAATCACGATGCGTGTGGGGACTCACATCCGCGTCTGGTGTTGGAATCTTGGCTAAAGATTATGCTTAATTCCATAGATACAAAGAATTATCAAGATCAACTGATAATAATGATGGCCGAATGTTTATCCTATAATTGACAAAGTCTTCTAGATAATATCTGTAGACATTATTTAAACATTGTTGATGGTAGACAAACCGCAATTGTTTAAAGGGCTTGCGAAGGGAAGCTAGTGAAATGACTAGCCTTCCTTCGTAAGTCTTTGGCCAAGGTAGAGAGAGTATGTTAGACACACATCGACTGTTAAATAGCATGTTTACACTAACTGTTCCATGAACGTACATATATACGTTACCATTGAACAGTGGGCTCACCGACACACTTGTCCTGACTACGAAATGTTCATCATTTTATTGTAAAAGAAAAAGCTTTCATTTGCAGGCGACAATTCAATTTCATATTTGCAAGAAGAACTGTAGAGGATTTGAGAAAAAGAAAATAAAATTTGCATGCAACTAAATAAACTCGAGCGTAAAATTTGATCAAACAGCAATCCTATGGAATTTAAATATTAACACAATTTCAATTCAAAACATGATGCGACTAATTTAATCCATTAACTTAAAGAGTCAAAAACATTTCTCTTGTCGGATGGAAATTAAAGAGGAATACCTGCTCCCTCGATTGATTGATAAAAGAAATAGTAAAAAGTAAAAACTTAAGATTCATTAATTACAGATAAGCCCCGTTTGTACATTCCAGATTGATTACACTCATTACTATCTATGATAATTAAAAATAAAAAGGTCAAAGTTCTTAAAGTTTACAAGTTCGCAGGAAGCGCGTGTTGTGCGTTTAACTCCCATTACTCCCCATATATCCCGTATTCCCTTCTCACTCGTCCGTCTCCTCCTCGTCTCCCTTGTTTTTTTCTTTTTCTTCCACCTCTCTTTTCAATCCAAATCTGATGCAATTATATTTGATATATATATATGTATAATATGTATGTATGTATATATATTCGAAAGAAAGGACTCTGATCCATTCACAAATTAATAGTTTCGATAGTTTATATACAAGCAGGGAAAATCTAGCATTACACAACCAATATGAACGATGAGCAATAAGCATCGTATAAACGTCAGAGAAAATATCCATATAATCATAAAAAAAAAGTATTACGCTCGACGACGGCAAAAAGTACAAGTTCGCTTATCGACAAAACATTCTTAGACGAGTTGAAGAACAATAAGCGTGGAGATAAAAGAGCACTTCTGAAGTGATATTATTAAAAGAGATAGACATCCCATATAGATGTAAAATATAATGCAATATTGCTTTCCGTCCTCTTATTCCTTTCCTCATAACTTTTTTTAATATCCCAGAGAAAAAATCCGACTCGATTCCTTTTCTTTTTTCATCGTGCCCCAATTACAAAATTACCTCCCTCTCCTGGGCGGTTGTTGACTTCCCATACTTCCCATACTACCCATAAATCTTCTATGCCCATTGCCCGCTCCTGGACCATTATAAAACCCCGAATACGCCATCTCGCCATACCCATCATATCTTGGTGGCGGCGGATGTATCTCACCGTACGGGCCTATTCCATACCCTGCAGGTGGTATCATCAGTGTTGTGTAATATCGTGGCTCTGTTGCATCATATGCAAGGCTATAGACCGGATGGGAATTGGATGATGCAGATGAAGATGCAAGTTTATTCGCCTGGGATTGAGAAAGTCCTTGGCGGGAGCTGCGTTGATGTCGTGGGCGTTCGGGAATTGTATGTGGTTGTTTTTCCTGTTGTTGTAAAGAATGCGTGCGTGATTGGGAAGTATTATTATATTGTGTTTTCTGGGAATTTTGTTGAACATTTGAATATGAAGACGAGGTAGGTGAGGATGATGTTTGTCGCTGATTTTGTCTGGGTTCATTAACCGATGATGTTGATGCTGATGATACTGTTGATGATGATGATGTTGGTGTTGTTGATGTTATTGCCGTTGTCGTTGTCGTTGTCGATGTTGATGTTGTTGCTGATGTCGATGTTGTTGGTATTCCCGCCTGCCATGTTTGTCGCTTACTGGCAAGTAGCTCTTTCTTCAACTCTTCACTTTCCTGTTCGCGTAAGCGCTTACTACCACTTGCGGCATCATTTTGCGAATTCATCTCTGGTAGTGGTCCTGTATTCTGTCTCACTTTTTTCGTCTTAGGCGCAGCCTCCTCCAATTTTTCCCCATTGTCCATTGTGCTACTCTCTCCAGTATTCTTATCCTCGGATGATACTGTTGCTCCCTTTCCAGTTAGTCCATCCTTTCCACTCCCGCTAGTTTCTCCAGACGCTGAATTGCCGCTCTCGCCTTTTTTAATATTACCGAATACCCAAATATTTTTAGCAAGATCCGTAGTATTATGCTCTCTTGTGCGATGGTAAACAAACTTATTCCATATCGTAAAATAGCGATTACATCCATTCCAAGTACATACTACAAGACTAGTGTCATAAATGTTTGCTTTATATCCAACACATCTAGAAATATCGTCGTCGGTGGTAATGGTATCAATGATAGTAGTTTTACACGGTGCGTATTCAACAGCCTTAATTATGTTCTCGGCTGGCCTGCTGTCTATTGGATCTGACGAAGATTCCTCGTTATCCGAAGAACGCTCCGTGATCGAGCGTGCAGCCACCGTGGCGGGTCTTTTACTTCTACGACGTGGGAGGTTCTCCATTCTTCGTTCCACGAGTAAACCAAAGAGAAATAATAATAATGTCATTTTTATCACGTGAAATAAGGTTTAAAGTGATACGGTGAAACCTGATCGAAGTGAGCTAACGCAACGTTTATTCATAAATAGAATTCATGATGCACCTTTTCAATAACCTAAAAATCTTGATTTTCGCAGAAAGCTAACTCAATTTGTTTACGTAAGCATTGTGGTAAAAAAAAGAGTATTCCCTACGGAACTTATCGAATAATAAATTTACAATTATAAACATTCTTGTCATGTCTTTTTCTTGTCAAACTATATTTCTTGGTAAGTTGATCAAATTTGCTGAGAAATAATCAAGGAAATTGATTTGCTCAACGATTATGAATCCATTCTGAAAGAAAACCAGTTTACTGAATAGAAAAATAATTGCGTTTTTCATAAATTGATATATACAGTCAACTCTCTCTATACTGGCACGAGTGTTTTAGCAGAACCTGCTCAGTCTCAGAGAACTTGAATCAAACCGTCAAAATCGAATTTATTTTACAAAATAATAGTAAATTCATTATTAAAAACTTATTATTATTGCGTAATATATGTTGATCACATGATCATCAATGAATCCCTTTATACAGTCACCCCTCCTTCGAGTCACTGGTTTTGCCCGGCCCAAGTGTGTGACTGTAGGGGAGGTCGACTGTTATGCCGAAAGGTTTGGGCAGCATCAATGATCCAGTATAGACGAAATGTTGCAGGTAAATATTTTTATGACAATTAAAAACCTCATATAATAAAAAAGAGTCTATTCGTGCTTGTTTTTTGTTTGCAATTCCACCTTTCTCTTTGATGCACGAAACGCTTTTAGCTCATTATAATTTATCTCTATATCACCCTGCATCTTTAGTTAAAACGGTGGGCGTTGAGCTGGTTTCACCATTATTATTATCTTCTTCTTCTGCAGGCAAAAATAAAGAAATAATTTCATCATCTGTTACCATTTCATCATCATTTGCATTTTTATCATCAACCGTTATATATTCCGTGGCGGTTATCAACTGATAAACTGTTTAACATTTAATCGTATGACTGAAAATCGTATGACTAAAATCGCATGCTGACAATGAGAAATATTGTACGATAGACGCTACTATTACAATTCGGTATAGCGAGTGAATTTTAAATATTAAAAAAAAAGGGCTTCGGTATAACGTGAAATTCGGTATAACAACTGTACTGCGTATTGTTGTGCATATATGAGTTATTTTTGCCTAGATTCAATATTTGCACTAACCATACATACTAATAATGATTGTTATACTGCCATAAAGACGCTCAAGATTGCTTTACGTGTTTAAAATAATCTTTGTTTATTGCCAAAGAAAAAAATCAAGCTTACGTTTATAAGCGTATGAGGTTATTATAAAAGCAACAAAATTTCTCTTCATTCATACCTAACAATTATCAATTTAAATTGATCGCAAAATCAGTCGTAAAAGCCACTTTAACTTAAACAAATTAAAAATGCCCGCTTTCGCCAACGAATTCTGTTGTGTATTAGTGATCGGAGTTCTCCTCGACTTCATGCTCTATTATACAAAATAAAAGGTTAAGATCGGATATTAGATCTTCTGGAATTTCACCAGATTATATGAACTTCACGGCATAAATCAAAAAATTGATAAGATAATCAATTTAATCGAGCCTAAATAATAAATCAAGTAAACCACTCGGCAAACGAAGTTACTTGTCAGACGTCGAAGAGCCTTAAAAACTTATTTGACAAAAAGGCTCGAATTTTTTATTTAACAAAATGGCGGTTGAAATTTATAAGTTGCTCAATAAACAAAAGGCCATCGCTGCATCAACAATAAGACATTTTTATCTTCGAAAAACAACTCCATGGAAAAAGACTATTGAAGCAATCCAACGTTGGATCGACAAAGAAAAGAAGGAAAACGTAAACTACTCAGATGGGGAAAATAAAAATGATGAAATAGATAATAATGATAATATAGCGATAGTATAAAAGATAATGAAATTTAAATTTACACCAGAGTGACTAAAGAATAGGTTATACTCACAAATGGCTTTGGGTCCGAGTATTTTCCTCCCATGTAATCACTCTGGTGTTTACTATTATTTATATTTCAGAGCGCGCATTCGATAATCGAATAATAAAATTTATGCTTACGAAGAAATTGAATTATTTTTACGTTGTTTGCCTTCTTTAATTGTATTGTGTCAAAGTAGTGAACGTGGTCAAAGCTCAATAAATGCCTTCAACAATTTTTTATCAACAAGTCAAAAACTATAAAGAATGCTAAACTGCTTTCACTTACCTGTCTTTTAATTTTCATTTTTTCTTGGTTTATCATAAGTTGGTGTTAATGCTCGTTTTTTAGTTATAATTTTCCTTTCCTATTGATAAATTTCATAAGTATCTAAATATTTCTGGAGAATTTTGGTGTCATTCATTTTAAAAATATACGGAGCAATTTTTTCTCCTTGTTTCTTTTTAGAATGCTTCTAATAGTGCTGTAATTCTTTGGTTCCATAGTAGACTTAATGTAAATTAATTTTATATTAATATTTTTATATAGGAACAATTTTTATATTAATTATGTTATGGTTTATATTCATCACATTCCGGTATGATAAAGTGAACATTAAAATTAACAAGTCCATGAACACCATTATTACTTTTCAAACCGTCATCAGTCAAGCCTCTCATTTATAGAATGTTCACTTTGTCTGGTTTTGTTGCAGCATGCCCCAAATATACCTCAACTACGTATATCGTTTAAGAATTAGCGCATCAGGCTAATAAATATCAGCAAATCTGCCTCATAGAAGCTCATCCAACGTGAACATTGTCTGAGACAAATGCAGTAATTTTCGAGTTCTAATCCATAGAATTATGTTGTAAGAACAAGACAAATAAGCAAGACGGTCACCAAATTTTTTACAATACACGGGGAGATTTGAATTAACCAATAGAATTCGTCAGGATTAACTGTAAAATTCTTCGCTATTACATCACGTGCCATATTCTTGTCAACCCCTGATGTTTCACCAAGTTTGCCCACCATCAAATCGCATCAATTCATCTTCATCAGTAATAAACATCCTAGTCATCAAGCCCAATCTTGATTTTTCTCCACGTTTGATATACCGTCTTTCCAACTTGGCCTTTGCTCTCCAGATTGGTCGGCTTTTATCTTGTCTTTCATCACGACAGTAATCGTCTTTGTGTTTCCTTGATAGACAGAGCATCGACGTTGAAGCGTTATTGTTACTTTGTGTTATAAAAAAAAGTATCGGAAATGGCTGATTATTACTGGTATGTGGTGAATAGATATTATTTCGTTTTCGCATTGAGACAAAGAGGAAAATAATAAGAGTTTGTATTACTTGTAAATGATATAGTCCGAACTATGCCCCAATATTCGGTGCTTTAGGATGTACTTTTGCTATCGCATTTACTAGTAAGTTATGGATAGATTCGTGGTCGTGAGTGGCGATAATGGTCTGTCTTTGTTTGCGATATAGCTGAACACACAAGGCAGCAGCATTTAGCGTATATGAAAAGTACTGTTATTGTCGTTATTCAGCTAAATGATCGTATTGGCAACTCGATGCATTAGATACTTGGGAGCGATAATAATAGATGTGGTATAAATTTGTCGTTTAATCGTATCCTTTTGGAAATTCATAGGCTTTGGAGCAGCATATGGTACAGCTAAAGCAGGAGTTGGTCTATCAAAGATGGGAGTGTTACGTCCGGATCTTGTAATGAAAGCTATTGTTCCAATTGTTATGGCTGGTATTATCGGTATTTATGGATTAGTCGTTTCGGTACTGATTTCCGATGGACGTAAGTAATTGAGCGTTAGGAGAGAGTTACTTGTATCGGGTAATCATAACGAGCCGATCAAAACTTTTGAACTATTCTGTCGACACTATTTATTTAATATAACCACCTTTGGCTTTCATCCTTAGTGAAACAAAGAATGGCTTTATATACGTGAGTAACCCAATATTTACTTCATTTGTAACTAGCAAAACATCCTCATGATGTTTTTTTAAATTCTCCGGCATTTGATGTGAAACATCTCATTATTTTATTCATTTCTAACCCACATTGCTTTGCAGTGGATTTATCCAACTGGGTGCTGGTCTAAGCGTAGGATTGTCCGGACTTGCTGCTGGTTTTGCTATTGGCGTTGTTGGCGATGCAGGCGTACGGGCTACTGCACAACAACCAAAGCTTTTTGTTGGAATGGTACGTAACGTCATTGATCAAACAAGAATGATGTTGTATACCATTAATACGTATTAACTCGAACGGGTGTTTTGTATACCGCCTTGTCATTTTCTTAGATTCTTATTCTCATTTTCGCTGAAGTCTTGGGTCTTTACGGGCTAATCGTCGGGCTGATTCTGAATACCAAAGCAAGCGGTGGTGATGTTGGATGTAGCTGAGGTGGATAATGGATTTTTTATATACAGAGAGGATCTGTTGTATGGTACTGTTAGTTTATTGTTTAATTTACTGGGAAAGGTTAACCGTCAACAAATACATCAGTTATCTTGTAAATTAAAAACGTACAAGGAAGATTTGAGAACGACTCTGAGGATAGGAGCGTCAATACATATGTTTATTTCTGAACGTTCTTGCAATTTTTAATGATGATATTATGGCATGCTGCCAACAAGCCCCCAGAGAGATTTTACAGAAATGTTTCGGGATTCACAACTGAAATACACTCACTCTGCTTCATATCGTCAAGTTATAGCTATTTGCGCTTCCTATGTTCAAGTACAGCATTATAGTCAACAAGACCAAATTAATTAAAAGTGAGCATCAGATACTATTTATCTAAATTGTAACGTGTTCGTTCAATACCGTGATCCGTGTTGCAGCTAGTAAAAATATTATACATTTTATGATTAACGACTTATCTTCATTGGAATCTCAAGGGCCATCTCGGTCAATAAGAGCTGATTCAAAAAGAAAAAAGTTCTGCATGATTGTAATTCATTTTATGGAAGAAGACGAGCAGGATTGGCCTTCTGAAGCTTGTATATATATTGTGGATTGGCCATTTCTAAACGTTTTTATTCAATTACTATCTAAAAGTCGCACAATATTATAATAAATGTTAACCTATTTCCTTTTATGATTCTGAATTTCCCCCCGGGGATCGCAGTTATGGCATCCTGTAAACCGCCAAACTTTGCACTCATTACTGGTAAGAACTTATATATGACTTTTTCTTTTTTACAAGCGTGTTTCGAATGTCTCTCGATCATCGTGTGTTCTGTTATCCGTAGCCACTACGCCCAATTGGGGTATCGGATTGAACAATGATTTGCCATGGAAACTAAAGGCCGATATGTCATATTTTACGCGAGTCACAAAGCGTGTGCATGGAATATCACCAGAAGATACAAGCAAGACAATACAAAATGCTGTCGTGATGGGAAGAAAGACTTGGGATTCGATACCGCCCAAGTATCGACCGTTGAATGAGCGATTGAATGTGGTGCTGTCGCGTAGTGGGAGCGTTGTATCACTTGAGAGGTGACCAGGAAGACCTGTTTGGAATATTTTTAATTCTTTTACGTTTGTTTCTTACCACTTCTTTGTCTCGTGTAGTCCCAACCTAAGCTTCCCAAGTTTTTCAGAATCAATAAGACATTTAACGTCCTTGCCCGATATCTTTCGTATCTACGTTGTTGGTGGGTCTCATATATACCGGGAAGCTATCAAGTCATCAAATTGCACTCATATTCTTCTTACTCGAGTATACCATCAATTTGAATGTGATACCTTCTTCCCCGAAATTGATGAAAACATCTATGGGCTAGCAGAGCATGAGGATTTGGTGAGATTTGTGGGCGAGGATGTACCCAAGGGACGATTAAGTGAGAACGGGTTGGAGTTTGAATTTTTGCTGTATGTTCGAAGGGAAATCTTGGGGGAAAGATGAGCATGGAAATAAAAAACGACCATGTCTAATTGACTTTCCCATAAAAATCAACAGCTTGCATCAATCTTTGAGTGTATTTTCAACATAGACCTCTTGTTTATTCACGAAATAAACTTTTTTATGCTTTGAAATACAAGTTTAAACCGTTTTACGCATACAACAGAACACTCCATAAATACCATAACAACCAATCCAAATAATCCAAACGAATGACATGAAATCTTTTTTTATCACCAAACGGCCAAAGCAAAATTCCACTTGAAGGTTGAAATCAATCCGAACGCGCGTTTTCATTGTTCTCGGCCTGGACGTTTTCGATCCCATCCGGTTAATAACCCTGATAGTATTCTCTATATTCATACTGAACCCCACATTCGTTTGCAATTATCTCATCATTTATACGTCCATAGCCTAATCCACACTCGACTTGGTACGTATGCCTTTCATCAATTCCCAATACGGCACCGGCAAACGGCGTGATAGCACATACAGGTCGCGGAAAGAAATTGACTTGGTTTACACTATATTCGCCGCATTGATTGTATCTACTATATACATCGTGTCTATCGTAAGCGGCATAACCGTCAATGACATCCATTCCATGCTGATAAGGCTGATAATACATTTCCTGGACCGTTAGCGGCGGCGGCGGCGGCTGCTGTTGCTCTTGTTGTCGTTGCTGTTCCGGTATCATATTATATAATACATTAATATTGTTGTTATATCCAGGAGGGATCCCTGCCATACCGTAGTCAATGTCTGCCGCATTCGAGTCCTCGGCAATCCAATACGAAGATACTGCTTGAGAAGATGATACCTGAGGTGGCGGATAAGGTGAAGGAAAGAAGGAATGGCACGGCAAACAAGATGATAAGGGAGTGACAGCATACATGTGTGTGTTTGGATGTGTACATGTTGGTATCGATGGCGAAAGACTCTGAGAAATAGAAGCAGTATTGATGGGTAATGGTACGGGTGCGATCGACGTGGAAATGGAAGAAGGCATTTCCGGTAACAACGGGTATGATAGTGATAGTGGGGGCATGTATGTGGGTTCGACGGCATAATTTTCTGGAAGAGGTTGGATTTGGGGATATTCGGAAAAATATATCAAGTTCTGAGGATATTTTAAAGATTGATTCAGGGAAATTTGAGATGGAACTAAAAAAAAAAAAGAAGTGCTGCTTAGTCGCATTGCTTTATCATGTAAGGATAAAAAAAAAGCCACCCAGTAGGGAAATTCATAATAGACGTATTCTCTATACAGCACGCTAGGCATGACTGTATGAATAATTAATACATCACGTTCTCATAAATCCAAAAAGCTATACTTACCGCAGTTCTCATGTTTGACGTAACTGCTCGGCTCACTCCACTTCAATAACTTTTCACATGTCGCCTTTCTTTTGTTAGGTGAACGTTGCTTACAGACTTTGTTGACATTTTCAATTTGACTAGCATTTTTATGCCCCTCACTGATGGATTTGGACATTAACAACGACGTATCGGCTGTATCGTTCGATGTAAATCCTCTAAAATTATCATGATTGACCATCATATCCTGTGGTGTAGCTGGACAGACTAACGCGTCGGTATTTTCATCAGAAGTGGGCGGGCATGAAGCTGTTTCAAAGGACATTTCATTGGGTCTATTAGTAATCAAACCCCTCGGGCTCTCGGATGGATTATTCAGGGCTTGATTTTTAAATTGTTTCTCGCCTGGTCTATCGATACGTTTCTCTTCGATTATGTTGTCAATCGATTTATCGGCCGTTGTTGCCGTTGCTGTCGTTGCTGTCGTTGCTGTCGTTGCTGTTGTTGCCGTTGTTGCCGTTGTTGCCGTTGTTGCCGTTGCTACCGTTGCTACCGTTGTTGCCGTTGTTGCTGCCGTTGCTACCGTTGCTACCGTTGTTGCCGTTGTAGTCGTCGTCGTTGTTGTTTCATTCTTATCGTCAGTCAAGGATAAATTTCTTGCGGTTATTGTTATATCCGGTTCTTGGTTTTGCTCGATATGTTCTGGGTCTAGCGTCAATGTCTTTGCTTTGCTTGATTTTGATTCGGTCTTTGGCCCAGTATCCCTCTTGACTTTGGCTCTTCGATTTTGAAACCACACTTGGATTGCTCTTGATGACATATTGAGCTGTTTTGCTAAATCGACCCGTACATTTTGGGTTGGTTTTGAGTTTTCTTCAAACACAGCATTAAGTATGGTTGTTTCTTCCTCCGTAAGTCGTCGTCGTTTTTTTACTTGTCGATATGCAGGAGGAGGTATTGTTGGAAGTTGATTTTGTGGATAGGAAAAGGAATTGACTGGTTCTGGTGAAGAATAGACAGAAGCCTCCTGACTTAATTGATCAGTGTCAGCGGTATTATCAGGGGTAAACTCTTTGGCAGGAGCTTTTTGTGGTTTATGTGGAACTGCAGTAAGCATCTTTAATGGATCGATGGCCGTATAATTGTGTGAAAAGCAATGAAGTGAAAAATAAAGTATGGCCACACTAGCATTTGAGTTTAAAAGGGCATTGAAGCCAATTAAATGGCGGTATATACGTTAACGACGATAAATGAGAAATTGAGGTGTTATTAAGCGTTATGGGTTTATGTTTGTTTCGTAATAGTGTAGACTAATCGATGAGGAAGATTGACAAGTGCGAGAGAAGATTTTCAACGGCATCCCATCTCGTCGGTTTGATGCACTGTGCCATCATATGTCATGGAAAGACCTCGTGGGCTTTTGGCTTACATGTACTTTATCACGGCGAACGTAAACAATTTATCTTTTGCTTGTGATAAATGACTGATGTGCATTTCAAAGATTGCCAGCAAAATCAAGGTCCGGTGATGGCCGCTAATGTAACATTTCGAGAGGTTGAAGGCAGAACGGGCGCAAGTTGCTAGTTACCCTTAAAGCCGAATATATTACCATCCACTGCTCTGAATAAATAAAGCTTATATTTATGTGATGGTCTATTGCTATTACATGCTTCCTGTGCTACATTATAATAACGCTAACTACAATATCGCTAGTGTCGTTTTTAGTTTACTCTCGTTAATGACTGTGGCTTCGCACTAATGACTTACGTGGGTATTATAATTACTATAAGCATACAAATTTTCAATCACTATTTCGGGAAATTTTAGCCGCGAAACGTTTAAGGAAAGACGTTTCAGATCTGATGCATTTTGTTCATCATTTGGTATTCTTAATTCTCAGCAGAGGTCTTGTCTTCTATTTGGATAAAATGATTATACGGATCTCGTCATTTTTACGTGTTCGAGAACCAACTATCTTGGACTGACACTGAAACTCTTATCACAAGCAACTATTACTACCAATGTCTTCAGCGTTTATTAGTGGAAAAAAGCGCCAATTCCAGTACAAAGACGCGTTTATATTCTTTCACCAGATGCACACCCAACCATGCGTTAAATGCATGACGTATGTATCTGGAGACACGTGAGACTTAATAAGCGATTTTCATTTTTATCATTATGACACCTAGATTACTTACTCTTCTGAACCAGAATGTGCAAATATCAATTTAAAATGCTTTGGTATTTCATATGTGTACGTATTTCAGTTGTCTATTTGATGTACAATGTAAGACATATCTGCGTTCTGTATGTAATAGTAACGAAATGAACAAATAATAATAAATCAAAGCACTTTGAATGCCCATGTCATTACTCTTAACCATTGAAACACTTTACAAAATGAGATACTGAAAGTAGATGTAAGTTTCCCATCACTCATAGTCATACAAAATGCAGACATTTTTACTCAATTTTAGGTAAAAATTCAGAATTATGGATTAAACATGGTTAATCACATGTTTATTGGATGCAGTCAACTGCTTATCTCTCAAAATGACACATGCTGATAAAAGAGAACTATGTTACAACAAACTTAAAAATAAAAAATAAAAAATAAAAAATAAAAAATTTCCTAAGCTGTGATGGCATATTAATTTGCTTTATCTTATTATGTTGGTTTATTTATTATTGACGTAATAGTATATGTGAGGCAGAAAAACTATCTACCTTCACACTTTTTAAGTAAAATTTGAATTGGTAAACTAATAACATTAATTCTTTTGTCCCCTTTTTTCTTTAAAGCAAAATGTGCATGTTACATGTGTAGCGGCATACAGAACGTTTTCGAATTAAGACTAAAAGTGTCCAGGTCTTTTCACACTTCTGATGTACTGAGGTCCAAAATTATAGCTAGAACATATGAATAAAAGTAAGACAGCAAGGTGACATATTATTATCCCATGTACCAATTGAATGTTAACAAAAAGCAGACTTATACTCAGAAAATCAAAGGCCTTCAAAAAATGTGTAGAATTTACTTGTTATAATCATAACCGTTACAATTTAGATTGCGAAGTTAATATTAATTAAAAATTGGTCAATCTTAAAAGGCAAGTGATTACACAAACACGCGAAGATAACATAAACACGGGCGATCGTCAATACACGCAGACGTCACGAAACGACAGACTTTTTTAGGTCATTTAGTACTAACATATGGGTTGCATCTAACATGTAAATATGCAATTATCTCGACAACTAAGCCACTACAATCATACAGATATGGATTTATTGTCATCCAATCGTTTAAGTCATGAATGACGTCGAAGTCACGCTACTGTCAAAACAACATGTTTATGTTATTGTTTATTTATTATTGTTATAATATTTTTAATTGAGCTTGATCATAAACATTTCATTTCAACAACTTTTACAGTCCACCAATGTCAAAATCTCAGGATTCCAATAAATTTTCACCGCAAACGCAAATTCAATCATCCAATCTTCCATGTCAAACGCGTCCGGCCGTACCTACTTCAACTAATTCGACTCGAAAGACCAGATCGTCTCGGCGCACATCTATTATACCATCGGATAAGTTGAATCCTTTATCCCGCCCACCGAAAGTAAGCGATGTCACGTGGAATCGTCTGACGGAACGTAATACTGAAAGGAATAGACTGTATAGATGCAAAATTCGTGTTCTAGTCATCCATAAGGATGAACCAAGGCCAACAAGTCCTTCATCGACATGTGAAGAGTCTAAAATTTTAGACCAAAACAGCGATATGGATAGCGACGTGGACAGTAATAATGACAATGAGACAGATAGCGATGATTGTGAAGGACGGGAAAATGATTTTGGAGATAAAAAAGTTCGATGGAATCGTAAAGAGTTAGAAGCACCGTCTCCCGCTAGTAGATCAAGTCCAACCACTGCTAGGCAAAAGCCTATAATTAAATCGTGTCTTGCTTCAGCGGTATGTACTAGTCATCCCAGGAGCAAAGTGCAAACTTTTCATATCATATATTTAAAGCAATCCAACCATGTTACTGTTCATCGTATTTAGAATCCACCAACGGATCGACTCGGTAACGTCCTTGATGCAGACAAAAGTCTCTCACCGATTGTAAAACGAGGAACGAGAATCATAGTGAAACGAATCAGGTACAATGACGAATCGGAATGAAGCTTTTTAATTGCAGGAATACGACAGATCGAGGAGAATGGTTTATTAAATGAGAAATAAACAATTATATTATAACTATCTCAGTCAGATTTGTCCTTGCCACCCAAAGAAAGTAGTCTGAATCGAGTTACATCTCATAACGATACCCTTCATAGATTTTCCACTAGTGAGTCGCGTTCTGACCATAAACACACCCATAATAGTTCAGTTATGCCTCGAGAAGGAACGGCTTCATGCTAGATATCGTTGTACCTTGAACGTTAGTGTCAACTAAAAAAAATGTAGGTATCAACACGAGCACGTAGGCATCAATATAACAATGATAATGTGGTAACGCGCCAGGAATGGATAGGATGCCACTTCCATGTAAAGTTATAGAAACTCTCGATGGGAGTTACTACCGTCTTGATTGTGTTAGACAGTTGTTACTTGGTAGGTGAAATGGAAACCGTAAGTGCATAGTTCTGAAACTTGAGACGCGAATATCACTTAACGGCGGCTTCCCGATTACAAAGTTTCGCCGTTGCAAGTCTAGTTGCACGGCTGGGCAATAGGAAAGCAGGTGCCGCTTGCAGTTCTCATCGTCATTCTTGTACTAACAAAGATAGTTTGACATTCAGATTAGAATAAAAACATTTATTTACAATCATCATATTTGCGCGGTGGCAGGTGACAAGATGAACCAATAACAGTCAACCTGATTTCAGGGCCAGAACATATATTAAGAAGGGTTTCAATTATATGACAAATAAAATGTCTTTGGATAACCTCAAGTCCTAGAAAAAGTCCTCCTTGAGCTTTTCGCTCGGGTCTCTGAACAGAGGAGGAAATAGAGAAAGTGATGAGATGAAAGGGATAATATGTAATCGATGGACTAAAAACGTGCGATACAACATAAGGAACTATGTAAGTGGAATACAAAGAATAAAGGAAAGAATAGGGGGAAAAGACCCGAACGAAAGAGTAGTCTGAATTGAGTTACATCATGTCTGATGCCTCACGTATTGCACTTCATAGATCTTCCACCAGTGGGCCGCGTTCCAACCACAGACACTCCCGTAAAATCTGTCGTCCCTTGAAAAGGAACGACTTCATATAAGAAAATGCTGGGTATCGTTTCTGGTAACCCACTCCTCACTCTCGTAAGGGTCTCAGCTAGAGACAAATAATGGTTTTTCTCAGACCTTCACCAAGGGTTGTACTTAATGACCGGAACTCTTTAAAAGTCCAGTCCGTGTGTTTGCCCTTTACGCGAGCTTTTCGTTCGGGTCGTTTATCCCCCAGAAGAATAATGGGTGATGCAAAAAAAATTAAAGAGGAAAATAACGTAATATTAGATTAAAACAAATGTAATTAAATTATGCAAGCCCGTATAAGGAATCGAGTATAAATAGAACGGATCTATAAAAAATGGGGGGGAGGGTGTTGAAGGGACCGATTATGATATTTTGCGGACGTGAACTCAATAAAGTAAAAACGTTACGATATATTAAAGAATAAATATTAAAAAGGATATCATCATGTCGGTTGCTTCGAATCGAATCCATATAAAACGTCCAATCATGTACAGCCTGTCATCTCACTTCCAGATTGCTCTCATCTTCTTTAATTTCGCTTTTATAATATACCTCGTTCTTTCTTATCATTCTCAATAGCACCGCAACCAACCTCATAAACTCTTTGTAATGTTCCTCGCCAGTTTCTTCCTCACTAAATCTAGCCTTTTCATACCCCTCAACATACAGTCTTCCTATTCTTTTATCTATCAGCCTGCACTCGACAAGATAGTCGATATATCTTTGGATTGTCATTGATGGATGCCGAACAATTGAGGTAGATTTCTGGACTGCCTGTTCGATGATGACTGCGGTCTGACGAATTGATGTCTTAAAGTGGATGTTTGCAAGGGATGTGCCAGGTCGGCCCCATCCTGGTTGAGTAGTATCTTGGCTAGGTTGTGACGCAAGCGCTATACAGCAGATGTCGGCGAGGGATTTTGTTATGTACGAATGGACAGACTTATTACAATCGAGTACATAAATGAAAAGTTAAGATAGGATTGGGACGGAAATCTAACATGCGCGGTGAACAGATGGCGACACTTACTCGAGGGATATCCTCCTCGCGTATGGGTACATACGATTTGGGTATATTATTTAATGTTTTCCGTGTGGTGAACAGGCGACTAAGGCCTATTGTTACAGCAAGAAAACCCTAATATCAATAGAATACAGAGACAAGAAAGATTATTAGTGAAGTATTTTACAATAGAGCTCGTATTCTTGTGAGCAGCTGCAGCAGGTATATTATCTACATTTATTGGCCGCTGCTTCCTTTTTGATACTTACCAAGAGTAAATAAGCAACTGCAATAATAGTTAAGTATTCTATCCTTTTCGTCTCATCTTTCCAAGCTTCGAGAATAACGTCAGCAGCTGATAAGAATAAGGCAGCTACTGTTATTAGAGCAAAGAAGATAAATGAAGTTGTGTAGAGAATTTTCATGAGAAGCATTTTGGGGGGTTGATTTACCCAGGATCGGCATCAAGAAAAAAAAAGAATGAGCACATGACTACTTATACTGCTGTACTGTGTGACAAATTTGACATAAGTACTGCATTAATTATAATAATAACTGGATAAGAAAGTTTAATTATTACTATTATTTTGTTGTAACTCTTTTAAAAGCGTATTATAAAAACTTTTTTTATTTTTTAGGAGCAATTGGGCTTGAATTCTTGATATTCTTGGGCATTTAATTCATCACATGTTTTTATACCAGTATTATTGTTAGTATTATTGTTAGTATTAGTATTAGTATTAGAGTGTAATAGCATTCAAATCTAGTAGGCATTGAACAAAGTATGTCCAGTGGTGTATAATAATAATAAAGAAGTTTATGGTTAGGGTCACTATATTAATATTAACACGAGAAGTTAAACCATTGAGGCAGCTTTGGCAGACATTTTAAATTGGAGTGAAAAGCATAAAACAACGTACAAGTGGCTCTCGGTATAAGAAAGTGATCGGGAGCCATAGTAAAAATCTTAGAATCCTTCTTATACCGAGAGTTTATATAGTAATTTTCTTATATGGAGATAATTTTATATAGACTGTTTTTCAGCTCAACTTTCGTATATCAAATTTTAATTAGTGTTTCTTATATCGAGAGCTTCTTATTATTATATCGAGTTTCACTTGCATATGTAATTGTTGTGTTATTATGAGGATTTAGAGGTGTTATTAATATCAATATTAAGTTTTTTACTTGATAAAATACAATATCTTGCACACTCGATTAATACTAATACTCATTAAAATCATATTACAATGTTCCCAGTGAAATTGAGTAGTAGCAAGCTTTTGATTCTTTATCTTTGTCAAAAGTAATAAGAACACATTTAGCTATAGCATTCTAATGTTTTTTGATGTATTTAGTTTTCTGCAAACCTACAAACAATAGCCATATATTATGCTTATCTTGTAGCAAGCAAAACCTGCACAAAAAAGACAAGGATAAAATAGTTAGTCATGTTTAGATAGATGCAAAAACGATTGGTTGCTGAAAACTTTTGTTGAAATATGTCCCTTGTCAAGCGATGTCTCTATGATAAAAAATCACTTACTGAATTTCTATGAAATAACACGTCTACCATACCATCTTCTATATGAGATAAAGGAGCGTTAATCACATGATAGTACGTATAATGATTTGCGAGACAAAAGAATGCCGCAAGGACGCGAATTGGTGCGTTGCACCTTTTTACGGAATTCGAATGTTTATCTGATGGCTAGTCTCGATAAATGCAAGCCGTGAATTTTGGGATTGCTTGAAAAAGAAGTTATTTCTAAAGAGAATATTATTTACTTGAAAAAATTGGATTTGTCAAAATATTGTTCAGCAAAAGACAAATGTTTGTCACTTGTTCTGTAAATTCATTGCGTTAGTTAATCATTATCACTCGCAAAATGAGAGATGGAGGAATAGCTAACGATTAATATCGATATGGTTTTTTTTTTCATGAATTCTTCAACGGTTAACTTGCATACGATGTTGCAATTGCCGTCACGTTTCCGATGATATAATTGATCGTGCTGTTCCAGATTTATCGGCGCGGGGCTTACTGCAATATTAATCCATTGGACTATGCTTATTCGTTATTCCCATGTCTCAGTTCAATCGTGGGACGTGTCAATTGTATTATAAAATATGTAGTCATCTCTTCATCGAACGAGATCACGTGAAATTATAAGCAAAAGTCGTTTTATCCTGTCATGTAAATCATCGAACGTTAATTTATTGACCTGATGGTTGAATGGTTTGTCTTTTTTTACAGCTTTGGTAACCGAGCATCATCGGTTGCAACTTATTTTACAGAATAACTTATTCCTTTTGCCTAACAAAGAATAGCTGAACCATTCATCATTGTTCCAATGGAATGATTGAATCAACACAATACTTTCACCTAATTGACTATACCCAGACACATTGGTGGTTGCTTTCGCGATGGGAAGAAATTTTCGACTTCTTTGTAACGCTAGTTTCTTTTGTCGCTCTCTTTATAGTTCCTTATCTGATTCCATACAATGGGAAGTTGCATACTAATCGAGTTGCTCCAATAGTAAACACCAAAAGGTACCCACTTTTTATTTATATTACAAAAAAAAAAGCGAGACGATACGCTTAAATTCACTGCGGACACTCTAAGAGTTCCTTATCGTTTGCATTACATACTCGTTTTAATGATTGTTGGCCGTTCGCAAGACATTTACCAACCAACAGATCCCACCGCCTGTATTACCTACTTGTAATTCAATTATCCTGAATTGCATCTATTTGATAATAACAAACCGATACTTGTAAACTGTATATTGCTCTCGTTAAACGCTTTCGTCCAGAGATACCAATGGATGCATATTTTTAACATTCTCCTTCTCGTCATAGAAACTAACACTGCAATGTAATCATATGATTTGGCAGCAGCCTATATTACTTGTTAGCACCATCACAAGCACCTTTTCCTCACCTCCCCCCGTTGATATCACCTAATAATTTTTTTTAATCGTGAGAATGAAAACGACCAGAAGCACAAATACACAGCCGCAAATAATAAGCCGGTAGTGATAATCGAGACTATTGTTACCGCAAACCAATATGGCGAGGATTTTCTGGTTCTACAGGTTAGTATTCCGATCTAGTATAGTCACTTATCGGGTTACCGACAAGAGAATTTCAAATCACAGTGTCCAATACAAACAGGCCCTTTTTTTTTTGTTTGTTTATGTTGCAATAAGATGTGAGTAATGTGAGTATCGAGGCAAGATGACGTACAGCCGCACGATCATACGTAGGCAATGCTGGCAATAGAAAGAGCATGGTCGATCCTAATGAAAGAACGCAGAGCGAATGATCAAATGATGATTCATTCAAAAAGTTGTATACACGTGACAGCCTTTATAAAACTGCGATTTGAACGTCTATCTCTAGATCAATGTTATTTATTAACTTCCTTTCTTGCTCATTCCGAATGAATAACGACCCTTTTACATTAATCCTTTTGTCTTTCTCCTTTTATTAACTTGCACAATTCTTTTTAAACTAAATCTACAAACAGTAATAATTGACCGTAAATCAAGTGTGACTACTCTGCTGAACTTGGATGTGGGGCTGTATCTACTCGTGAAAGCAAACAAGTGATGTGCAGTTATGTAAGTGCATGCCACATTGTACCAAAAGTAGAATCTTTGAAGAAGGGAAGTTTCTAGGTTTTAATAACATAGTTATTTCTTAGTAAACTACCCGATTTAACCTAAATTTAGCAAGTACGAAAATGGAAAGCTTTAATAAACTAAGTAAAAGTACTATGTGAAACAATCGGGATTTCACACAACATTCGTCCTTCCTACATCACAAGCCTAAAATGACACATGTAAGAGGAAAAAAATTTTTTTTTCCCCACATTCAAACGTGAAAATGCGGAGAGAGAAAGACACAGTGCATTTCGAACAAGACGGTAAACTGGTTTCCGTTTTCCGCTACAAAGAATTTCTGCAAGATGCTGGTTTAGTAAGAGATTGTGCGGTGGTACACGGTGAAACTAATAACACGGATGAATGAGAGAAAAAAAAATAGCAAATTAGGTTTAGTGAACTAGATGATGTGATTTAGTGATAAGAGTCACATATCATGTGAATTGATCGATAGATACGACCGAGCTATTATGTGGTTCTTTATACACACATACAGAACGACAAGATGCGCGATGTGAGCGTATGATGTACAATGTATGGTGTATGCCGTATGATGTATGTGTATGCTCCACAGTTCCAATGATACCCCGCAATGTGAATAGGTTCTTTATTTTTTTCTCGAATGTCCTAGCGTAGACGCTCGTATGGTTTCGAACTTTTTCATTTGTTTCACGCAATCTAACTTGTACAACACCCCACAGATCAACTGCTTTTCATTATGCGAGGTCTATAAAGAAGGTGTTTCTGATAAAAATAGGAAGGTGATAGTTATCAAGAATGAAGCTTACACGACAGAGATTGTGTTATAGCGGAGGTGGGGGTGATGATCGTTTGTGAACAACGACACAAAGCTGCACAGTGGAAAAAATATTTAGTGATCTAAAATTGTATCATAACTTGTGCATGTATAACAATGGATATCGGGTATATCCGTTCCTAATGCAAGGGAAATTAGTCTCGCTATGAATCACCTATAGTTGAATGACTTTGCAGGGCGTTCTTGCATACTTTTGTTTAATACGAGTATATAAACTTGTCAAGTCATTGTAATAATCGATTACTACGGTTCATTGTGATTATCATAACCGATTCTTGGAATGCTTCCGTAATTTCGATCTATAGTGATTGCCTCATATGGAACATAAAACAGCTAGACGCTCTATAGACGTTAGGTATATTAATATATCATGTTCAGAGAATCAAAATGTTCACGTGCCCAATACCCCAATCTCACATCCTCTCTTTACCCTCATCCCATTAGTTTATAATACGCGATATCAGGTTTTATGAGAGTTGAAAAAAACGACAAGACAGTTTATTTTGGTGGGGGTGGGTTCGGTGGGTGGGTTCGGTGGGTGGGTTCGGTTAGACTATCGTTGTCTTTTTTCCTAACGATTGACCAGGTATGAAAGTGACAAGAACTATGAACGCAATCTCTTCTCAACATTACTGTATCATACTGAATTTCACAGGTCAACAGGAATGTCTCAGCTTTTGCCTTATTTCGCAGTTATGTGAAAAGATAGTAATCCTCTTTTTGATGCTCTACGAGTTACGCGTACGAGATGGGGGAGCCAGTCTTGAATAACTGTCGCTCGCTCGTAACGCCAGTACAACCTGGTCAAACGTATACGCCGTCGGAACGCCCTTTCAACCTACATTCGATCGTATAACAATTTTGCGTCGTTATTAGTGGTCCGTCACAAACGTTTACCTGCCGTATTTCCGTCTCGTAGTCATAATGAGAGCAGTTTGGGCGTGTGCGGGGCCTTGTTAGAAAGAAAAAAAAGGGGGGGGGGGGAGGAGGAAGAATAACTAAATTGAAGATGGTGTGGGAAGCAATTGGACCTGGTATGAAGACAATGTAATAGTCGTATATGGATATATGATGGCACTGATATAAAATAAAAATATCGAGAGATAGATACAATGATCATTATGTATTATGTTTGCATCTATAAGTGACAATGCTTCCCAAACTTTTTTCCAATCAACAGAGAACAAGGAAAAAAATTTTCCACGAAACGCCAATTTTTTTTTGTCATAAGCCACAAAGAAGAAAAGTCATTCCATAGAAAGTTAAACGGATTTTTGATTGTTTCCGTATATATAAAGAATATAAGTATTCGGTTACAGTTTAATAGAATTGTTGGCGTTGGTTGAATAGCGCAACAATGGGAGAATGAGAAAGAATGGGGCGATTTAATAAAGTGATTTGTTCATTATGGTTGACCCGAATGTGATACTTAAAATGAGATAAACATACGTATGTGAAGAAATATCGCCCTAAATAATGAACAGAGACCATATGACTCGGTGTTTATCATATTATTATATGCTGAGTTTTTTGAGTTTTGTTTTTGTTATCAAAGCACGTTTTAACCAAATAAAAAATAATGGCCTGAGGGTGGATCACAAAATATATTAAATCATATAATAATAATACCATTAAATTATATTATAATAATTAGATTAAAGTACAACGTTAATATATAGTACATTATATATTAATATATATATTATGTATTTTATATATACTATGCGAATACATGTAACAAAATTGTACAAGATAAACATAGTAACAGTTTTCAAACGTTGGTATATATTCATAATTGTTGACATGAAAACTATTATTATTATTATTATTATTTACTTCTATTCTCATCGATCTGTTACAGAAGAAAAAAAAAAAGTAAAGCCACACATTCTCATCAATAGACCAGTACATACTTGTCTTGACAGATGTATGTCAAGGCTTATGCGAACAGACCCCACCCCCAACCGACACACATCTCTCCCATACACCGAATACACACTAGCTGCACTCATACAGAATGGTGTATATGTGAAAGTTGTTAATCTTGTATCTCGTATTGATAGATCTATATCGCAGACAGTGTGCAGATTGTTGAAGGATGTCAAGTCGATAAACAGCAACTTTTGGCACTTTTCAATCGGCTTCCCACAGCTCAGAGTGTGTGGGGTGCATATGTTGCAACGTTCAACAAATACAAGATCATTCACAATTACAGAGAACGCAGTAGACTTGTTCGGTTGTGATGATCAGACGTTTATATTAATATTACTTGGATGCTATTCTATGTTTGCTTTTCCTCTTTTGCTCGTCCACATTCTCTCTCTCTCTTTCACTCACTCACTCTCACTCACTCTCTCTTTTTTTTTTTTTTTTTGCTTCTCCTTGGCTCTAACGATCACCGCTCCCTTTCCCATCAAAATTTTTTTGCTAAAACTTGTTTGATGCTTCTGTTTGTGTATCAGAATAAATCTTATGACACACTTTACTCCTTTTTTCCCATAGTTGGTAAGCTCGAGCGACAATCACCCTAAACAAGCTTAATAACTGAGGTGGTACTATCAGATATTAATATCTAAGATTCGTATCGATAAACCGGAGCACAGATAGATGTTTATTCAATTTGCATGACTGGCAAAGTGCCCACTTACCATATATAACAATTGTACGTTATTCACTCTGCCTAAACCGTATTTGTTTCCCCAACTTTGCCTATTTTCTCATCCTGAGAATTTTATACCGTACCTCTTCGATACATGCGCTTTGTAGCATAAACATTTTCTCATACTTGACAGCTACGGGCTGTGAAAAAACGTAAAACGGTTGGAAAAAACTCGAGTGCGTATAGGTCAGATTGATGGGCGAAACGCAAGTTTCATGGCTGATACTCGGGGAAAAAAAACCAACTATATAATATTATGTCGTACTATTATTGTATGCTACACAGCGAGTAGCCCGTTTGTTTGCGTCTAACCGATGCACAAACTATGAAAACTTTTTTACAGTTTGGATGCTGTATCTCCGAATATTAGTGATTGACGGTTACTTTTTTTTTTCCTTGCCAAAATTACGTTTGAAAAATTTGTCTTGTAATACCTTTAACAAAAACAAGCGTCTGTCTGTTATCCCCAACGAAGTTCAATGATGACTAATTGTTATATATCATCAACAATGGCTATATTGCATTGTACATGCAAACTTAGATTGCCGACATGCTTGCTTGTTTAGAGATAGATAGAGGAAAGAGAAAATTTTGCTTAGTCAAACTACTTGTTTAGGTTGATTCATTTGCCACATTGTGCATTTAAGTGTCAGGTGCCCAGTTGCGAAAGGGGTGGAAAGTTTGCCTATACTGCACTATTAGAATTGCTTGGCTTTTGGCTATTTCGGACATTGTTACCCGTTACTATAATTAACATCGTCTGTTACTAAGTTTATCCGTCTCTAGTATTTGTATTTGTATTTGTATTTGTATTTGTATTTGACCCCCACCCCTTCCCCAATTCATCTGTTCATCCTTTGCCTAATTCAAACCCCGACCAGTTAAACTCAGTTCCTTGAATCTCCGATATTACAAAATCTGCTTTCATCTAATATTCATCTTTGGTTGCTGTGCAAATAGCTTTTTTTTTTTCACCATCTTTCCACCGTCGTCTTCTTTCTCAGCCATAAACCAAAGCCGGATGCAACTAACTACGCCAATGAAAACAACTGATAAAGAACAATATGATATGTATGTATGAAAAGTTTTTTTTTTTCGTATCATGTAACACAATGGTATGCAAAATCGAGCTAGCCGAACTCTTGATTTGAGCAAGGGCAAATGCATGCGGCAATGAGAATAAAGAACCCAAACTAAAAAAGAAGGTGGCTGGCTTTGTGTCGCAATTGAAGATGGTAACTTGCATTTCAAATCAATGTGATGGCCCCATCGATGTTATTATTATCATTATCATCGCCCATGATTAAATCCCAATAAACAAAACTACTTTTATCGCTGAAAAAAAAAAATCTATTTTTCGAAAATGTGTAAGTTTAGCCTGATAAAGAGTGGGACTGATATTGGTCACGAGCACATGCAGAGTCTTAAAGGCGTCCAAATAAAAAAGTTTTTCCCAAATAGTGACTAGGATATCATAATGGTAGGACTAATTACTACTATTAACAACTTTTTACTAAAGATGTAGTAGTAAATTAACACTGGGTTTCCTCTCCATTATTCACTATATAAGCAAAAATCTCACACATACTATTTCTGCCGTTGAATCCCAAGTTATTAAAAAAAACTTTCTCATTGCGTTAATTTCCGATCACGATGGTTGCTTACGTCATGGCAGGACCAATTAACAAGCTATGACCATTGTTTCAAGGGTTGGTTATCATATACTCAAAAAGCCGATTATACGTGCTAATTAATGTTAAGGTTAATGCACTTGGGGGCAGGTAAGTTATGACAATGCTTTCAAAACGATGATTATGGTTATGTGTCATGGCCACATCATGTTATGGTCAGGCCATAGCCATATGGATAGCTAATTGCTCGTATCATGATAAAATTGATAATAATAATATAATATGATTGTTTTGCTATTGTTTATTCAGTTAAGCTTAAAAAGTGACTAAAGGGTCCTTTTTCATTGTTGAAATACGAGTTTACCCGATTAATTTCCAGTTTATTCCGTTGAACAAAGTCGGCATATGACCTTTTGCATTTGTGTTATTATTTGATCAGCGTTTATCCGTAAAATTCAGCAAAATACCAAAGTTTACAAATAAATAACAACTTTAATTTATTGGTAAGGGACATGTTTACAATAATTGTACATTGTTTATTCGTATTATACCATTTCACAATTACTAAATAAAGAATACAGCTGTTGTATTAACAAAATTTTTACAAGCAATTTTTCTTTCTTTTTTTTTCAAACCTCTTTCTTTCTTTCCTTTCTCAATATCCGTCAGCATGGTTGGGGAAGAAGGGGTGAGGAGTTGGGATGGAGATGGAGATGGGGTGAACCGCAGAATGTTTGTTCTCTATCAATCTATTTCGGCATCATATCGTTTTCTGTTTGCGTAATTTTTTTACGCCTTAAAAGTGTATGGGACCACAATAACCAAAATACAGGGTAAAGAAACAATTGCTTGGACTACAATAATAATGAGGATATGATGTGACCTTCGAGTCATAATTATGATATGTCATTACTTTGTTGTTATTGTAGCAGTTATTACTATTTATTACTATTTACTATCATCATCATTATTATTATTTCTATTGCTACTATTAAGTATTTAGTATTAACTCTTACGCATATCAGTATAAACATTACACACTCGTACATAATTATATATATATGTGATTACACAATACCCAGATTTAGAATCCCAAAAAAAATTTTTTTTCACAAACAAACGTAAACAATAACGGTTTGGTAGACGTTAATGATAAGATTTAGAGTCGGTGATGATATTAGTATCAAAATGCAAGGACCATTCACTCTATCATCACAAGTCTCATTTCGCTGTGATATGTCTATTATCCCATATACAATACATAACTAATAATCATTATAACTCGATATCTAACAGATTTGCCCGGACATATCCTTGGCACATGGTCTAACACACAATTAGCCTACGTTCCATAGAACGAATCTTTTTCCTTCCATTGCTGGCGTGGTAAATTGTTCATATTCTACTGCTAATCATCAATATTAATACGCTGCTGCTTATTACAATAAGGGGAATGGGACATCTTAAAAGTTCTCACCGCAAGATTATGTGACTATCAATCTATTTGTTGTCATTATTGTCAATGTCGTTATTATTATTATTATTTATTGTTGATGTTGATGTTTTCAGTTAAATGTCATTATCTTTTCTCCGAACTTTATCTTATCTCTTTGCATTTTTGCTTACTATTGAAACACATAAACCCTTCTAAGTCATAAGACTCGACTGAGCACTGACCGAGAACGTCATTTGTGTGTTTGTATAACAAACAATCACTTATTGATATAAACAAATCGTACAATTACTATTACTGATTTTATCATCATTCGCACCCCACTCGGCGAGGAATAATACACAATTTACACTACTAAAGATCATACGCGTTGATGCGTACATTGGGGAGATAAGAAACGCGTTATGTAAACATTGGGGGAAAGGTAAAGCCTCCCCCCCTTCTCCTTACAACAAGTTATGGTTTACGATCCGAGAATGCAAACAACTGTATCTATTTTCATCCGACTTGCACAAAACACACATAACACCTCAATTAACAATGACGAAATAATTAGAGAGTGACAGGAAGAATAACCTGCTTTGTTCATTGTTAATCTGGTCATATTGATAAGTGCATCTTTGAAGTCTAGGCTAGAAGTGGCGTAATGCTATACTTGGATGTTTTACAAAAAAGTGTTCCATTTTTTCTTTCCAGGAAAAAAAAACGGGGGGGATATAAACGCAGACATGAATAATGGCTATACATACCTATTATTATCTAGTAAAGATGGCGGGATCTCTATCTTTATCTTTCTTTAGTCTCAAATCGTCACAGGTTTTGCAGCCTCACACCCCCCAGTTCTGTTATCTCGCCTCACTCGATGCATCAAAATCATCACAACCACTCCATATAATTTGCAAGTTGCAGAATATATGCGAGGATAAAGTTGTACATCTACAGAAGAGAAAAAACAGGAATTGAAGGAAATTAGGAAACAAAGGGGTCAGCAGGGAATTGTTTATGAGAGAAAGAAAAAGGGGAAGGAGAGGAGTAGTAGATGTAGGAAGCAAGAGTGGAAAGTAAAGAATAATGAAAGTTGGCAGAAACAAAGCATCAATGAACAAGATAGAAACAGAGTAATAAACGATATCTAAACTCGACAATTGAACTATAGTATCATTATTAATGGTCTAATTTCACTTACTGTTATTTCATTTATTTATTCTGTTGTAATTGTAGATGCATGTATGCAAAGCCTGACTTTGTGCATATGGGATTATCAATTTACGGAATAGTACAAACTATTAATTGAAAAATACTGAACTGCCTCTTCCATCGTATGAGTAAATCATTGCGGGGAAGTCGACATATTGAAAATGGACATGCAGCTGTGCGTTGCAAATATAGTGTGAGTGAATAAGACAAAGATAGGATAGATAGAAAGCAACAAGACGGTAAATGGGTTAATGAGAAGAGATTTATGATTGGTTTATAGACATCGCGATGAACAGAAATTGTCACCATCAGACAGGTTGATTAGCTGTAATCTCGACTAGAAAAAGTTTGCTTTATTTAAAAACAGTTCCGGACCATTCAGTAGTTCTCACATTGCAATAATTTTTGCCATATCCAATTAATTGTAACGTCATCCCAGTATCCTTCAGCTGTGCCTACATGCTCGCTGACGCAACTATTTTCATGCATCACTTTCCGAGTAGAATTTGTTATTTAGCTGGACGTGGAAATAGAGAATGTAATGACAGAGAAAATGTACGTGGGTGTGTATACGTGGGTGTACGTATGGATGTGGAATGCGTGAGATGTGTGTGGGATGTGTTTGTTGATAGTATAAAGATGTCTTGTAATAATAGTGTTGGAATTCAATAACATTAAAGATATCTGGCCTGAATAGTAAGTAGATTGGTTGGGCTACAATCTAGTTTTTACTTTACGATGCATACAGTTGTAAAAAAAAAAATTTTTTGTGAAACGAGAGAATCCATTGAAAAGGGGTGAGTAGGTTATAATAATATTTAATAATAATAATAAGTAACAATAAGCGAAATATAAAGGTTTTTTTTTGTTTGTTTGTCTTTAAGTTTTGAACTATAAATTTTTTAGACGTATCTCAACGTATTATAGAACAGGACTGTTATATTCTTCTTTGTCCTTTCCGAACATATCTTCGCTATACAATAATATATGTTGTAAAAGTACATTTCTTTGCTTGCGCTTTGCAGATAATTTCTGTAAAGACTGCAGACTGCCGCATATAATACTCATGTAATAATAGGGATCTATTACAGTTTGAGTCTTTTTACTTTTGTTAAAATACTTTTTATTTTATTAAACAGCAAGTCTGTTTTAGCTCTACTGGAAACGCATTCTCTGTTCATATCCTATTCTTTCGATGTGTATATTAACGTAATGTTAAAATACACAAAATACAATCTCCCGACATTTTTTTTTTGTAATTGAGTTGATGCACAAGCTATTGTATAAATTTTATACGGACTAATATATCACACCCCCCAACCCCTGGTGCAGAATTTATATAAAAAGACTCGAGTGATGCACAACTTTTCATCCATCTGGAGTCTTTTCCGCTTCCGAGATATATAAAAGAAACCCGATATCATTTTTTTAATCCTTGCTTAAGGCTACTATTCCTCGGCTTATAACACTATTAATCAAATTACATAATTTGTTCTACTATATATACATATTCCTTTGTACATATATCGTGTATTTTATGTATTAATTAGACATTCTGTCTGTCTTGTCTGTCTGAATGATTCAAAATATTTTCGTTGAATTTATACATAATAATCCCTTTTACATCTTGTAATTAATCGTCTTTTACACAGAGATGACCTCTACTTCAGTCCGGTATGTAGATGGAATGTTGGAAAATGAATGAATGAAATTTAATCAATTTGCATTCTCAACTCTCTCTCCCACTTTCAATAACGCAATTCGTCTCATTTCTAATCTCTACCCTCTTCTCATATATGCAGGGTCGCTTTGAGGATACGTCCTTTGAGCAACAAGGAAATACAGCAAAGATGTGATCCATGTATTACAGTAATAGAAGGCGCTCCCCAAGTGCTCATCGGCACCGACCGTTCATTCACATACGACTTTGTCTTTCCGTCAGAAACTCAACAGGATGAAGTGTTCGATGACTGCGCAAAGCCTCTTCTCGACAAGCTCATGGAAGGGTAAGCAAACAAGAAAAAAAAACTGTTACTTTTGGTCGTTTGTGTTATTACGTAATGTATAACAGCACAGTGTATATTACACAAACAAACTGACTCGTTACATAACCAAATTATCTACCCCTCCCCCCGTACCACACACAGTTATAACGCTACAATATTAGCATATGGGTAAGTAAAATTCCAACAGTTTTTCTATTCGTTTATAAAATAAAAAGTACCCATTTTTTAACATACCAATATGGTGATATTATGTATAGTCAAACAGGTAGTGGCAAAACATATTCCATGGGTACTGCAATAGATGGCGCTACTATCCCTCCAGAGCATCAAGGTACATACTTTTACTATTCATTGATTTCCATATTGTAATATTAACTGTTTACAAAAGGTACTTATCCCGCACATTATTTGAACCGCAGGTATCGTCCCGCGTTCTATCTATAGTCTCTTTGGTGAATTGGAAGCAAAAAAGACCAAACATCCAGAATTTTCCTATGAAGTATTTGTAACCTTTCTCGAACTATACAATGAGGATTTAATTGATCTGCTAAATATTCAAACTCATGACAATAAGAAAGCCAAGAACGAGTTAATGATTAGAGAAGACGCTAATGGACAGATATACTGGGCTGGAGTAAAGGAAGTCCCTGTGACATCACCGGAAGAAACATTAGAGTACGTGTCAAACATCTATCGATGAAGCACAATAATACGCCCATATGCTAACCATACTTTAATATTTTCAACAGTCAATTACGAAAAGGTTCTCTATGTCGTACTGTGGCATCAACAGATATGAACCAAGTATCATCACGATCACACGCCATATTTTCACTGGTGCTGAAGCAGACAAAAATAGAGGACCCAGAAGAAAACAAAGAAAATGAACCTGAACAAACTGAACCACAAAAGAAGCGTAACAGCAAAAAAGCATCAGCAAAAATAACATCAAAATTCCACTTTGTTGATTTGGCTGGTTCAGAAAGAGTGAGTTTCCCCCCTCCCCCCCCTTCTTTTTTTTTCGCTTCTATACATACCATCTTTACATTTGCTAACCCCGTACAAACTATACAATTATTAGTTAAAGCGGACAAACGCGGTGGGCGATCGTGCAAAGGAAGGCATTGCCATCAATGGTGGTCTTCTTGCATTGGGCAATGTAATCAGTGCACTTGGCGATGCATCACGCAAAGTCACCCACGTCCCATACCGTGACTCCAAACTGACTCGACTTCTTCAGGATTCCCTCGGCGGCAATTCTCAAACTCTTATGCTTGCCTGTGTGTCGCCGGCCGACTCTAATTTTATGGAAACCTTAAACACCCTAAAATACGCCAACCGTACTCGTAATATTAAAAACAAAGTCAGTGTCAATGAGAGTTATGGTGAATCTTCAGTAGAAATAAATCGTTTACGGTCACAAGTCAGTCAGTTGAAGATGGAATTACAGACCCTTCGCGCTGGCGGCGTAGACGCAGAAGTTGCTAGGAAGTACGAAGAAGAGATAAATCGTCTCAAGGGCGAATGTGGACAATTAAAGATGAAGATGGCAAATACAACTCAAGAATTAAATGAAATACGTGCTCATCGAGATACTTTGTTAATGGAGATGGATTTGAATAAGAACGCTGGGTCTATGACTGAAGAAGAGCGAGAGGCAAAAATAAAATCACATCCTGTTGTACAGCAATATATCGATCAAATATCGGAACTCAAGGCCCAAGTTTTCGACTTGCAGAACGCACAGGTGAAACCCGTTCAAGTCGCACCAGCTCAGCCAATACATTCTCAGTCATCGCGGAAATCGTCATTTGCCGGAAATTCATCCAGGGACAAGGGACACATAAAATTCTATGAACAAGAAAACTCTCGTCGTCATGAGAGCAGTCGACACGATAACGCTGACCTTTCTGGTAGCGATGATAATAAGAGACATTCAAAGAAGAAGAAGAAGAAATCCAAGAAATCAAAGGGATCAAGCAAACATCGTGCAGCCGGTCATTTCCCGGTTGAAGGCGAGGAAGCACGAGGTCAACTAGAAACGCAAGCCGAACATGAACCAGTACGGTCGTTCGTCAAGCCTGCAGTTCTAGATAAAGTTAAAGGACTATTTTCTGACCTGCCTCCGGATACAGAAGATTGTGATGATGATAACGAAGACCTCTCGGCAGATCCTCAGGACGATTTTGAATACACTGATAGCAATGGCCAAAAGGTAACTCGAAGGCTCCGACGACGCAGCGTCAAGGATACTCTTGAGAAAGCCAAAGAACAGATCCGACAAGGTCTATTGTTTATAAAGAATGGTGGCTCAGTACACGATGATCCTGTTCTCGGTCAATTAGTAAAGACACCATCTTCGACAAAGAGTGAAAGCTATATTGACCAAATGTTGGCTGGAAAGAATGAAAAACGCCGATCGAGCAGCGTGTCATTCAGCGATATTCCGACAATGGACGTTCCATCTTGGCAAGAATCAAACCCTCCTCCGCAGCAACAGACTCGTCGTGCTTCCAACTCTAGTCGATCTGTCAGTTTCTCAGACCAACCAGCATCTCCTCACTCCACCAAGTCTTCACAGGACAGTACCGGAGGCTCGTCTCAACAGAATGCCATTGCACTCAAGAGAATGTTGCATCAGATACAGGCCGACATTGCCGTTAAGGAAGAACTGGTGGCTCAACTAGAACGCGCTGAACAAGAATTCCACTATATGCGCACTGCCTACGAAGAGAAACTGGTTCATATGCAAGAATGTTTGATCCAATTACAACGTGAGCGTGAAATTGCGGTGAAGCGTGCTGCTAACTCGGGTGTTAGCACCCGCGACAAGAATTCAATCTTGACTGAATTAAAGGCGCGATATGAACACAAGATGAAGAAGCTCATAGCCGAAATTGGTGATCTACGTCGTAAATGCAACGAAATAACGCAAACCCATCAGACGGCCAAGACTCAAAATGAAACGACCATGCGAAACATGCGTATCCAAATCGAACAGCTCAAAGCAGAGAAATTACGTATGGTCAAGCGGATGAAGGCCGAAGCCGATCGTGTCCGAGAAGTGACTGAACGCACTCAACGGGAGATTCAGAACCTCAGGCGTAAGGCAAAGTCAGTTCAGACTGAAAAGAAGAAACTTGAACGCCAGACAGAGTCTCAAAGACTAATGCTTGAAAAGAGAACCAAAGACATGCTCAAGGCGAACAGCAAACTAAAGTCTGTAACGTCACTGTTGAAACAGACTACGACGCCGAAAGCTATAGCAAAGGTATTCAGACAGAACAGGCGAAAGACAAGCATAGACTTGGAGAAAGACAGCCCACCTGGAAGTCGCCGTACCTCTGACGAGATTCGCGCAATCGAGGAAGAGATATATGCCAGTGGTTACGATAAGAAGAAACTTCTCGATACTGCTATATTCCAATTCATTTCTGGTAAGCAGTCGCTGGCGATGATGGACGAAATGGTCAAGAAACGTGATGATCTAGTCAACGAGAAACAAGAAGCTCTTAATGAACGCGAAAGGATAATGGCCGAAAACTGCGACGAGCATGGAAATCTTGATCCGTCTAGCGAAGCAATGGCCCAGGATTTGGAAGACAATATTGATATGATCAACTCTGAGATTTCATATATCAATGCTAAACTGAGATCACTGCAAGCAGAAACGGCTCGTAACGCCAAGCCCGAAAGCGAGTCACGAAGGAATAGTGAGGACGTTAATCAAAAGGCAGCTCAACAAACCAAAGGTACTACCAACACTAAAGAAAGACGTAGGGGCAGTGGGGGTGGCAAGAAGAAGTTCTCCATCTCACAAATACAGAGCGCCACTCCTGAAGCCGCATACGATTTTGCAATGACTATACTTCGTAACCTGGATTCGTTCGAAACTCAAGCAATAGTAGAGTCGTTCTTCAACGACATTGTCAAATTACGAACAACCGACTGGTCAGCCCAAATGACGTTGAAAGATCGAGAAAAGACTATTACAGACCTACGAAAGACGCTATTGGCAATGCGCAGAGCGGCAGTATTAACAACGGTTGAATACGAGAAACGCAACAAGGTGCTAGAAGATGAGATGAGACGTGGATCGTTGCATTCGGAAAATCGTACACCAAGCCCGATATCACCTACCACTTTGGAATTACACATGACTGATATTGAAAACGACGCAGTCAACACGATGGACTTCTTTGATCGCATTTACAAGCAAGTCGAAGCGGAAGTAACATCGCCGGGACCGATCACATCGGAAAACCTTCACGATGCTCCGATAGGCAAACCATCAAGCAGAACGTCATACTTCCACGATGATTCCTACTTTGACTCTCCCACGGTCTACTCGCCTCATTCACCGAGAGACTTGCCCAGCTCTAAACGCAACAGCTTTGCTCGTGCTCCACTGCCGCCAGGATGGCTCAAAGACCCAACCAAGCGCAAATCGTCATCGGGGTCGGGCCAATCTGATTCACGCCGAAACTCTCAACAACATGATCGCATACCAGACTCGCGACGCGGTTCACAGCAATTGGATCGTGGATACGAATCTGCTCGATACACGGATGAAATAGAAAAGAAGAGCTCGCTGGGCCGAAGTGGGTTGCATTGGACTGATTCAATGGACACATTACATGACAAGTACGCACCCGACAGCCCCCGCACGCCGGGAGAGAAGCCACGACGAGATATACGAGATCGACGAGGCTCATTACGCGACTCTCATAGCAGACGAAACAGTGTTAGCAGTTTAGGCTTGTACAATGATCGCGCTCCAGATGGCATGCGAGAACATCGTGATAGCGGGTATTATGGATCGGTTGACAAGAAACGAATGGCGAATATGGCACGCAGAGGCTCCAAAGATCTTTCACATATGCGTCAGAACTCGTACGGTGGTGCGCCTGATGACGATAACGTCAGTGTATGCAGTGATCGATGTGTCCATACGCGATCGAATACTCCGGATATTCCAAACGTATTTGATCGATTATCGCAGTCTCATACGTTATCGAGCAAGTATCGTGACAAGAGACTACAGACTCCTGAACCAGTATACGCCACATAGTCGGTCTAGTTCGAGTAATTAAGTATTTACATCCTACGTTCGGACTATATTCAAAAAAGAAAAAAAAATCTTTTTTTTTTTTACTTGTCTATATACCTTTTTTCTAATTGTAGATAATTGATATTAACCCCTTCCCCTTTTTTTCTCTTTTATCGCTGTCAAACAAACAAACAAAAAAAAAGCCTTGACAATGATTTGACGTGATGTCAATTTCTTTAATTCTCGAAGTATCCTCGACAAAAAAAATTTATCTTTTCTTTATTTTATGTATTATAATATGGTTATTGGGAATTAGGTTGTAGTTTTATTGAAAACGTATAAAAAAAAGAAAGAAAAGTTAAATCTTTGACAATAAAAATCTACCGTTGTATCTAAATGTTGTATATATCTATTGCGTAATACGTCATTTTTTGCAAAACAAACGATGACTTACTACTCTATATGAAAATGAGTTATTCTAACCTTTACGGTGTCCGGATCGCAAAATATACACGGTTGTTGATTACACACAACCCGCAAATTCTACGGTCCTTATGACTAGTGTGATATTTCGTAATTTGTGGGGATGGTCCAAAGATAATGGGAATCACACGAGGTGACAAAGTGACAGAATTTTAATGTGGGGAAGAAGAGAAAAGTGATAAAAATGTACGCGAATTGAAAGTCAAAAGACATAGTATACACATTCCCCAGCTCATCCTATACATTTTTTTTAGCCCAGTGGCTCACCTGAGGCTTACTTTGAACTCGCGCACCCCCCTTTCCGATTCTTACCCATACTAGCATCACCTCATATCCCCTCTCTAATCATACCCGATTTAACTTTCGTTTAATCATCACACCCGTATTGTCTTTTCACATAATCACTAATCTACTTATCTAAAATAGATCCGACCTTCCCACAACCTGACTTCATTCTGCATCAAGGGTCATTTGTTTTGCTGTTGATGTATTGTTTCAAAACAATGGTGAAACTTTATTTTACTAATTGAGTTTAGGAGGATCTTATTGTGTGAACACAACTTATCTTTGCGGCTGAGGTCATACTGCAAAAAATTTTAATGGTCTTTGTTTGGGGGTGGCGTCGTTGCCTTTTTCGTGTTTATTGTGTGCTGCAAGCGAAAGCGGAGGAGGTGATAAGTAGGAACAATGGCAGAAGAAGAGAAAGAAAAGAGGCATGAACGAACGTATATAGGACTCGACGTTTGCTAGAATTTTTTCACCGAGTTTTTATTTGACATGTCGTGTAAAGCATTACAGATAACAGACGTAAACATCACATGTAATCTATCGGCTATTGTGAAGAATCAGTGTCACGACAGAGACTCCGGGCAGATATCACACAAGATACAAACATAGGAGCACAAATGCTGTGAATTGAGTTGGGAAGCAAGCATTGCCCCGCCTGCAGTTCATTTGCCGTACATAGTTGTGCATTTTCCGTACATTCATTATGAGGTGGGGCTATTACAAAGGTGGCTAGATTTAGATCAGTCTGTCGTCTCATGTAATCGCACAATAATAATGCAAGTTGTATTTTTCACAAGTCTCATTATATTCGGAGAAAACTTCCATCTTGGTCTGTTCATCTCCAAACAAACAGGTTTTCGAACCGGAATTTGCATATGTAATTGTTGTGTACGATAAACAATTTCTATAATTTAATGCAACAAGCGGACAAAGATTATGGCAGACTAGGGCAAGATAAACAGCTGACATGATGAAGTATCGTAAAGACTGAACAGTTATATTAGTCGTTAGTCAGGGATTGACGTTATAGTTTCATATAAACTAGAGCCAAACTGCAATATTGAAAACGTATCATCAAAACGCAGTTTTAAAAAAGTTAAAGTTTTGTACCAGTTCCGCAAAGAGATAAAATTCTAGATAACAACTTTAAGCGTGTTGTGTAATGAGATTGCGTTTAAGATAACCGAAAGTAATATGGTGTAAAGATTGACACCAACGGTCGATTTTATTATTAATCAACAAATCCGTAGTGACATTGCTAATTCTCGTATGCTTTTCGTGCTTTGGTAGTTCTGCTTAGTAAGAATTGTATATTACTACGTGAATTAATTATGCACTGACCAACTTTAGCCACTTTGGGCTTATTTCTCCACATTAACAAATGGCTGGGACAGTAACACATTGGGGGAAAATGTTAATATACATGATTGGTATGGTTTTATTCACCAAGATAACATATTATCCGTTTCCATTAATATTATTACGCTAATATTTAGTTTGCAAATAAATGATAACACAGAAAACGTAAGCAGAAAACAACCATCGGAAAATGCCGAGTTGTGCGTTGGAATAAATGCCGGTTGATGCGCCATCACAATCGCCCAACCTAATCAGTTTTGTCTCACTTTAAAAAACCAGCCCAAATACGGCCAGTCCAGGTTTATGCATTTATATGCACGCACATCTCTAATAATGTAGAATGAACAATATGAGTGTCTACAATGTGGATTATGATGGCAAGTGCGAAGAATGATTCTTTGTTTATGAGCAAAAAGAATCGAAAAGCAGTTAATTGGCTATGGTAGTGCATAAAACTTGCAACAACACTCGATCAAACAGGGTTGGCGTGTCCATTACATAATCCTATCACTAATCCGGATATCTATTGAATGGCGAATAGCCAATTCCGGTATTTTACGGGTTTTTGTTACAAACAACTGGTATTTATCGCCGAAAGGTGGTAAGTTACACGCAATGCTGGTTGTAGTTGTCGATTGAAAAAAAAAAGCCTGCACTTTACGCCCAAGAACTGATAATGGACAGTTTGTATAGTGCGACGATTAATAAATGATCGGCAATCTCAACTAATACGTACATAGTGTCTAAAGCTTGCCGTAAACCTAAGTATTGAAATTCTTGATCTAGATAATCGCTGATATTACAATTGATGATATAGAATTAGTAGAAGCAGACAATTAATAGTATTGTATAGTCGTCATGGAAAGTTGATTAACTACCGGTAGTAAAACAGTAATAGTAATATAATAGTAATAGTAATGAAGTAGACATGTCAATTATTGAGTCACGTGAATCGAGTATACGGGAAAATTCTAGATGTTTAGTTCATGCTTTGATGAGACCCTATATTGACTTTGCATTCTTAAGTTTTGTTAGTCTCAAAATTTAGCATAGTAAGTTTACATGTTTACTCTTAAGGTAAAATTCACATTTGCAAATAAACAAACTTCCCAGCCATTATTTGTCAAATCGGTTGAGCTTAGCGTGAAGGGCTATTAACAAGAATAATTTATTCCAAATGCTTAACCAATTTTTTGTTGAATTGTACGAGAGTGTGTCGAAGGTGATTAGCGGGCAAAGTGTCATAGTCGGAGGAGAGACGCATACTTTTCAATGTTGGAATAATGGATGAGCTAGCTAACAAACGAACTCAAAGTGCATAGACATGTGTGATGCTTAGTTAACTTATATGCAAACCAATAGAGAATTTTGGATATAGCAATAGCAATGGTGTATATGAGCAGCAACACACGTTTATAGCACTTGCTTTAATAGATTTTCGTAAAGTTATAATAAAAAAGTCACTTTTTTATTGTCGACATACGAATGGTGTAATTTGTCAGAATTAATGACATGTTTGTCTTCAAGATTAGGGTGGGTGGTAATATAAAACGACCAGATGTGTAAAACAGTTTTCTTGTAAAGAGAAAAAACCCAACAAAATGTACACTAATAAGCAGAGCGTTGATAGTAATCAATTAAAGAGACAGGAATAACTTGAAGACAAGCAACCAAAACTAAAGTTAGCTGTACAAATAAAGTTACTTTTTTAATCACGATTAATTTATTCATAATGGGTTAGGTGAAGAGCTAAGAAAAGAAAAGGGTAACGTTTGCATACGCGTTTTTATAATCCATTTCAGGGTTTGTAAACAATTCTTTGTGTACGATAGACAATACAGTAAAGTATTTATTTACTACTACGGTCCAAATCGAAAGTCTCATACTTCAGGACATTATCATAATCAAAACAAATATAAATATTTGGAACACTTGGCCTTCCTATTTGACATGCTGCCACCTCAGCTCGCGAGTGCTGGTGCCCACAAACGCGGGAAATATTAATATCAGGTGAGCATTATCAAATAATGATTGGTCGCGAGGGACGTTTGGAAATAAAGTGTTAGAATAATGAATGAAATAATAGTATAAACTCATTATATAATTGTTTTTATGGAACATTAATAACTGTTATTTACTATGCTAATGTGGGTTATTATTATGTTACAATTTTTGATTTTGATATAAGGTTGCCCCAGTGACTAGCAAGACATGTTATGGAACAATTGTTTTTTATAAAAAAAAATTAACCGAAGGCGTTGCCACGATACATGAAACGTATTTGTTATTCTTTAAATCAACACTTTGCATGTAAATTAGGAGACAAATAAAGAGTATTTATTTATCGATGTTTTGTAGCAACGTTATGGCAACTAATAAGAAAAGCGTAAGAAGTGTTCAATTAGAAAAAGACTGCATACAAATGCTTAAAATTTTTGCAACACAATAAAATACAGATACTTTGCTCATTCAGCGAAAGTGGAAAGGGTCTACAAGGAAGTAAATAAATAAACATTTTACTATCTACAAGTAACATAAACGACAATATCAACTAATTTTGCAAGAATCTGTAAAACACGCATGATGTAAGTCTCTCAGAATGTTGACAATGATTTACTATTACTATTTTATCAGATAAAGTTCTTAAACTAGATTTTGCCTCAATAAACGTAACACGCACAAACTGTGGTTTGACGTAAAACAGTAGGGCTGCTACTGGGACAGAAGTTAACGTTTTAGTCTATAGCCTCAAACACTTTTCTGGAAATATTCTTTTGTCATAAAAGTATTTATAATTTAGTAATTAATTGTTCGTTATTGTAACGTGTCTTCTGCTAACTGGTTTCTTTACATCTTTAATCTCACCATTTTTGCACACAGTTATGGTTTGTATTTTTTGACATGTATAATGTAAAGTAGATTGTGGTTTTAGTTACATAATTATAAAACTGACTAGACTTTGCAGACCAGATAAAATAATTTTTACTTACACGATTTAAACAAAAAGTGTGAGAATATTACATTACGTTATTTCTAGCAATAATAACAAAAAAGAGGGTAATTTAAAAAAGCTCAAATGTTCAATGAAAGCTTTAGAAAGGACGTGGCTGACAGTAAGGTTTTGAATTTACTATTTATTTTACACGAAAAACATGCAAATATGCATTTAAGTTAACACATTAAAGCTTTATAAGTATTAAAAAAACTCGCGTATTTATTAATTTTCTGAGGCAATCAGTTTTGTATAAACTTTGACGCTGTTTTAATATTGCGTAAAAAGTATTATCAATACATAAATGTGTATTGTGATAGGTTAGATTAATGGCTGTCCGTTGTGCCTTATTATTCGCTTGAATCTGGGTAATACCGATGCTTGATTGTATATAAGCAGACTCGATAAGTCTGTTACTACGCGTGCTCTGCTTATCGAATTTGCACTGTATTTCGAGAATAAAAAATAAAAAATATATATATATATATATTTAAGTCTTGGCAGAATGCTCTTGATATACACCTGTGAAAAACATTCAAAATCTGGTAAATTTAATTCTTTACCTGACTCTTATTAAATTAGCTATAATTTATGCTTTATATAAAAGATTGTCAAAGTACACAGATACTTTGGTTTGATATTGTTTTCACATCTATTTGTCTCTGTTCATTGTAAAGTGTCTTTGCTGTAAAGAAATAATAACAGTATAGATCTTCTAGTTTTCTACAAAACCAGTAGTATTAGGCACAGGTAATTGTTAGTTTGGCAATTGTTCAATTAGTTGAATTTGTTTCATGGATGTATAATCGCGTGAGGTCGTCCGTATTATACCATCGGATTGTGTGAAAAATACTTTCGTCCCTGTTAACATCTGCGGATGAGAGCTGTAATCATCAATATCAAAAGATATAAACCAAATGCTAATAATACTAATAACGGTGGGCTGGATCAAAAAGCTTGAACACAAAAAACCAAATAAAGCAATGTTGTGCTAGATTACCAAAAGTCGAACCCTTCTTTTGTAATGCTGGAATGTCAAACGGCTGCAGTTCAACCGTTTGAAGTAGTAATAAATGAATAAATAAAAGGCCGGCTACATCCGCATTTACTACCGATAAATATGTGCCAAATATGTATGGCATATGCAAATGATCGGTATATATAAAATTTGAATACAAAGCACATAAGAAATGTTCTGACTGGAATACGGCGATAAAAACATTACTTGAAAATAAAGATGCGAACGACAAGTCCGTTTGAGCTAACGTTCTAGCTTTTCCTCGTAAAACTTCAGGTTGAATTTCTCTGTGTAATGGTCAATCTGTTTTCATTCAGGGTTCAGTAGTTAATGGTGACCAGTACACAAACCGCCACATTTTTTTTTCATCTAATCTCATACACAATAATCACATTGTTGCATTATTCAGTGTCTCCCGTAAATTTCCAGCTGAATTAACCGTTATTTACTTGCTGACTCTTTCACACGATGAACAATGTAAACCCACAATACCGATCAGAGCGACAGGGGTAAAAGGGTCGTGAAGAGTAAGGAATGTTATGAATACGGGTGTGATGAAGAGAAAGGGTCACTTCTAATGCGAGTTCCCGAATATACAGATCAGAGTGTATTCGGGAGCTTTTGATGCTACCCCTCCAAGACACAAACGTCTCGACTTGCATGCTTTCGATAATAATAAAAGTAAACATGTTACTTATTATTTTGATCTACACGCATGTTAGAAGCAGTTCCAATAATCTAAGAATTCAACTTTCGCTTGTTCGTCTCCCATTGTCTGACTGTTGAAAAAAATTTTTCATTTATTTTCCTCTGCTGTTGCACCGAAAGGGTAATTAGTGATCGAAATGGAGTTGGGCTAAGCCCCATTCGGATAATACGCAGCAGTGAATATTAAAGGTAGAGTTGGACAAAGACCGTAAATTGGGGGAAATGTGGGATATTATTAATAGACTGCTGTACTCACTGTTGATGGGATTTTAAGTGGGAACATTACTAGCTACGTTTGATTAATGTTGAGGCTTGTGCTTTTCGTTCTGTTAGTAAAGGGGAAAGAGAAAAAAAAATATGTTTACATTGTCGTAGTTTTTGGGTTAACGAATTTAATATCTAAAGATTATATCTATCTAATTGATGGGTTGTGTGTTACCGTAATCTTTGTCGACATCATATTACATAATGATTGCCCTACTCATGTGACATGTGTCAAAAAGAGTGATCAAACGTTCGGTAATAAAACGGTGACTTTTGGATCATATTATTCGTGACTCGCAAATCGAATGTTTTGATATTTTGTCAGGCAAGTTTATTTACGATAGAGTTGAATACTAAAACCTGTCTATCTAAAAACGAGGCTTTTAGTCAGCTTGCGGTCTGATTTCCGAAACTAGCAGAAGAAAAACTGACGGTCATTCGATGTCAGCATAATACGTTGACCAGACGTCAGAATCACGCAGTAATGAGGTTACACCAATTTTAAGTCCATCCTCAACGAAGACTGAAAAAAAAAGAGTTTTTGGCGTTACTCATAATGCGTTTGTTAGTAACTTTTTCACAAAACAAAAATAATAACCCGTGAATGCATTACAAATCCGAAAGCTGCATATTGCTCGAATCAATTACGTAAATTCACTTCTTTTTATTTTTTATAATAATAAAGTATGAGGCTCGACAAATAATTACATCTACTGTACGGTGAACCTGCTCTATCTATACAGTAAGCGTCCAGTCATTTTGAAGCAGTTTTGAAAGGCGCGATATTTAGGTGTAAAGAAATGTTAATGTCGAATTAATATTTATTAAATCAATTTAAACTCATCCAATTAAGAACGAGTTTTATTACTATTACGTTAATATTTAATTTAATAAATTAAGAATATAGTTACATTGTTTTAATAGTATGGTGCGCCAACTCTATAAAACCACTTGTCTTTAAAATCTTCAGCTCAATATAGAGGCTTTTTTTTTGGAAAATCTGCCAATAATTATGTTTATTGCGACATGCTTACAAAGTTACTGGCTAGTTTGTCATAAAAACGGCTCTACGTTGAGCTGAAAGGTTTAAACTTGGAGTACATTTTATAAGCTTTTCCGAAAAATTGGTGAAAGCGATAGTGATTCGTGTAGCTCGTGTGACGTGGGATTTTCTGATTAATATCTCCCTATAAAAAGTCGAGGCGAAATAACAGAAACTAATCAACATCTAAAACTTTATTCAATAACTCGTTAATGTGATTTATACTTCTTTACCGTCCACTTTCATAGCAGCCGCAGATTACTAAATACAGGTAAAATCAAATAGTGGCATTATTTTTGTTCTGCCCACCCGCATTATCACAAGTAATTTTTCACCTTTGTTCAATTTCTTGATTTCATCGAATACCAGGATCAGTGTACCATTAGGGGCCTTTGCCAATAATTTTATCTTCATCGAGTATGTAATTAATTTGTTCGCGTACTGCCTCATCTTGAATACCAAAAAACGAGCAAGGATTTTGAATTTTGTAATAACATAACACTTTACCAATTCATTAGCATAATCACTAACCCATAGGCAACAATTGCTTTTTAGAATGTCCTGCTCCGTAATAAATTGCTGACAAATGCCGCAGGAAAATTCCTTTAAATAGTTAGTTAATCGTTCAGCCTTTTTTTTGTTTAGTTTCTCAACCACTCAATTTTTTAAAATCTCTTGCATTTGTTGTTTCAACATCTCTACTTGACTTTCAACTTTGGTTTTTTTAAGATTTAAGTGTCTTTGTTTGGGATTTTACCGTAAATATTATTATTTTTAGGACAAGAAAAAAAGTTTTAGGTAGAAGTTGCCTAAGTAAGTATTTTAAAATACAATATATTATGAGAGGACACAATGTAAATATCTACTTTTCCGAGAAAACTTATAATAAAATTAAGCCTTTAATCGCTCAAAGAAAAGTCAGTGAGTTTGTTAATCAAGCCGTAGAAAAAGAACTAGCCAAAGAGCAAAAGAAAGAAAAAGCCGAGTTAAGAAAAAAGTTAATCGCTGCTTACCAAAGACAAGCCAAAAATAAGAAATTACAGGCTGAATTATCTTTGTGAGATAGCATATCAGGAGACGGCTTAAATGACAGGTAAAAAACAGAGTAATAAGGCACTTCCGTTTCCAAAACAAGGAGAAATCTGATTAGTGAAATTCCCACCTACCAAGGAAGACCGCAAACCAATCCGACCTTGCTTAGTAATTAGTGATAATATCCAAAACGAGTATGCTAAATGAATAGTAGTTATCTCTCTAACTACGGAAGATATTAAGACCATTGAACCCTTTGAAGTTTTTGTTGAGAATACACCAGAAACTGGACTGGATTACCCCAGTAAACTCCAATTAAATTATCCCTGCACCATTGATCGAGTAAGATTAAAAGAGCATTTAGGAGTTTTAAATAGAAAAAGAGTTAGAGAACTAAGGAAAGCCTGACAGATTGCTTTTGATAGTGAAAATTGGGAGTGGTAGTGGTTTAAAAAAAATAAATAAATTATGCCAAAGAAGAAAAAACTGCTCACACTACCAAAAGAAAAGCTAAAAAAACACAATTACGACGAGGAGAAAACAAAAAAGGAATTAAATAAATGAATAAAAATAGTAAAAATAATATTATCACACGACAATACAGTAATTTCACTAATTACTAATTTTAAAAACTTAAAAAAACAGTTGTTAGTCTGTTAAAATTGGAATAGATAACACTTTAAAAACAACAAAACAAACTTATAAAGAATGGGTAATCAAGAAGAGAAATCATTAAAAATTTTACTAGGCTTAGAAATTCACATTACCCTTAACAGTCAAAAAAAAATCTTTAATTGAGAGAACACTTATCAGGGAGATATTTCTCCCAACAGTCAAGTAGGTCCATGAGAACTAGGCTATTTAGGAGTTTTACCAATCATTAATCCTGAAGTTATTTTACTAGGGTTAAAATTAGCCTCTGCCTTGGAAATGAAAATTAACCAAACTATCCTTTTTGACCGCAAAATCTATAATTATTTTGATTTACCAAAAGGCTACCAAATTACTCAACAAGAACTTCCCTTTGCTAATTCTGGCTACTTGCCAATTGTTAAAGAAAATACAATAAAAAAAATACCAATTAAAACTCTTCAACTAGAGGAAGATACTGCTAAAAGCATTTACGATAAAGAAGGAATTAAATTAGATTTTAATCGGGCGGGTAATCCCTTAGTCGAGTTAGTCACTGAACCAATTTTTTCGGAAGTAGAAACAGTTTTAATATTCATCAAGCAACTCCAAAATCTTTTGCGTTATTTAGAGGTTTCTGAAGCCAAAATGGAAAAGGGACAATTGAGGGTAGATTTAAATTTTTCTTTGAAATTAGGAAATAATTATTCCACACCACGCTATGAAATCAAGAATCTTAATTCACTTAGTAATATCGAAAAGGCTTTAAAGCATGAAATTAACAAGCACCAACTGTTATTTTCTCAACAAAAAAGCCCTCCCGCTAGCCAAACACTAGGCTTTGACGAAGCTAAGCAAATTACCAATGCTAATCGTGAAAAAACTGACTATTTCTATTTGCCAGAATTTAATATTCCTCCCATAAGACTGAAAAAAACAGAAATACAAAAAATAAATAAAAATTTGCCGAAATTACCTTGGCAACATTGAAAAGAAAATAAAGGAAATAGATTTAGAAACTGCTAAGACACTTCTCAAAAACGCACTTTTGTTGAAAACTTTCGATTTTTTAGAAAAGAAAGGACTGACTAAAAAGGAAAGTAAAAATTGAACCGCCTTTTATCTAAATTATTTATCTCCACATTTTGAAGAAAAGAATATTGATTTATTTGCTAAAAAATGAAAGTCTTACTCTGGACTGTTTGAATATTGAAAAGAAAAAAAACTAGACAATAAAGAGATAATTGAAATAGTCCATTCTCTTTTAGCAACCAATAAAACTTTTCCTACTTTGGTGAAAAAATATGATAAAAAAACAATCATTAATAAGGATTTAATAGAAATGGAATTAAAAAACTTATGAAATACTGAATTGGAAAAAAAAGTTATTACCGATCAGCAACGAGTTCAAAATTACCTACTGGGACAAATAAAAAAAAAATTTCCTGATTATCCTTTAAAAGAAATCATCGGAACTATTATTAACTTTCTTAAAAAAAAAGAATTAAAAAGTGGGAAAAAAGACTTTTCTAATAATTCAAAAATTCTTTTCAATTATCAGGGGAAACGGTTAGGCTCCCCACATCTTTATAATAGAACAACAATTAAGAAAGAATAACATTTTAAAACCCTTATTTGTTAACTGAAAACACTTCACATAAGGAAAAACGGAAATTTAAATCCGGTTTCCTTTTTTTATTCGTCCTTTATTTAAGATTACTCTTCCTCTTCATCACTACTGTTATTTTTCATGAAATAAACAATAGCGCCAACAATTAAAGCAATGCATGCAAAGATCGTAATAATTCCTAATGGAGTTTGATAAAAAGGCTTATCTTTATCATTATTGTCATTAGGAGAATTAGTTTTTTTCATCTCTGAAACTCGCTCCCTAACCTCCCTAATTAATTCATCAATAGTAACTCTTTCTGTATCTTCTAATCCCTCATAGACTGTTTTAGCACTACCATTAGACTGGAATTTTTGCAAGCTAGTTAATTTCCCTTCAAGAGCATTTACTTGACTATTATCAGAATAATCTGGGTCAGTTTTCAAATTAATTTTATTTCAGAAATGATCAACCAAATTTGTTAATTCAGTCACTTCCGGAGAAGTTGGCTTGCTTTTTAAACTAGCAAGTAACTTTTTCCGAGGAAAGAACTTTTTAGTGAAAACTTTTTTTTGTTCATCATCAAGTCCTGTGACACTATTAAAAGCCGTTTCTGCTTCATTTACTTTATCTTTGCTATCTGCTTTATCTAACTTAATTTGCTCAACAATTTCTCTTATTTTTGCTTCAAATTTACCCAACGCCTCTAAAATTGTTTCTGGATAACCTTTGCCAGCAGGATCCTTTTTTACTTTGTTTGCAGCAGTTCAAGCACCAGTAGATCCTTTTCTTAATTTAGACAAATTAACATAAACTTCATTACCTTCCTGACTATTTTCTTTCTTACCATCTCCCTTCTTGGCTTCTTTAAGGATTTTAACCACCTTTTTAAGCACTTCCTTATCACTTTCAATACCAATAATTACTTGGTCGAAAGACGTTTTAACTTCATTACTATCAGCTGCTTTACCTAAAATTTCACCAATTGCTTTTTTTAAATTCTCTTTAACTGTTTCAATACTATCATCGCTAACATTCTTAACTTTTTCTCATGCTCCATCACACAATTTTACATTACCATCTTTAAATTCATCATCATTAACCAAATCTCAGGCAGTTTTTTGTAATTTCTTAATTGGGTCAGTTTCGGCAGTTGTCAGTGCTCGGTAAGCCGCTATTTTATTTTTGGCCGCAACTTTTTTATCGTTAGTAGCATTATCATCTTAGGCATCTTTCAATACTTTTACTATTTCCACTACTTCTTTGAATCTTTTATAACCCTCTGAATTTGCATCACCTTTTCCTCCATTACTTCCAATTATTTTTGCACTAGTTCATAATTTAGCAAATTTATTACCATAATTGGCACCTTTAGCAGCATCTATCTCATTTTCTAAAGCAGTTTTTATGCCTAAAAGAACATTAATTTGGTCTTCTCAACATTCCCAAATTTTCTTCTTATTCGGGTCGCTAACATTATACTCTGTTTTCAACTTTTCTGCCTCTGCCTTTTTTTCCTCTGGAGTAGATTTACCCTTAGCTGCTTCATATTTTTGAGCAAAGTCATATACTAGATCATAAGCTGCCTTAGCTTTAGTTCTTGGGTCATTCGGACCCGTGTTGGTGTTGGTTTTAAAATTACTACCAGCTCAATTAGAGCTACCTTTAATTTCATCACCACTCCTATCATATAAAAAAGTAGTCCCAAAATCTCCTGCTAATAATCAACCAAAATAAAGATTTAAATGGTCTAAGGCACTTCTTGCCGGGTTTACTTTATCACAAAAATGTTTATACACGTAAACTTTATTACTACCCACTGTTTTTTCTTTTCAACGGTCATCAAGATACTTGCTACCTGGTTTAAAATAAGCATGTCCGAAAAAGATTAAGTCAATTGCTTCATCGACAGTTGGAGCCACCTCAGCTACCGCACACAAATAAGTTGTTTGTCCATCTTTCGCACTTTTTACAGCAAAAGGAGTTGATGAAGTTGGGTCATAAACTGAAAATTACCGTATAGGTCGCCATGACCAGTAAAAAAGTTACTGTCATTAGAAAAATCTTCTATTTTATAACCTCGAAAATCCTTAATCGTTTTGTTAGCATCATACTCCTTCAAATCAAGAAACAACAAAAATCCCATCAACGCAACTTTTAGTGATTTTGCCCGCATTGGCAGCCTGCCCGCCAAATTCCAAGTTTAGATTTTCATTTGCAGCACTAATTTTTTTGTCATTTTTACCAAGGGAAACCGTAACACTATTAAGTGCACCAACCGTTTGATTGACATCAAAAACCGGTACTCCTCTATATTTACCACCCTTAATTGTGAATATTTTAGCATTATTAGTTAAATAGTTGGTATTAGCTACTACTTCTGATGCGGCTGTATCCGAAATATTATTGAGATTTAACCATTGAGCATTACCAGTTAATTTACCATAATTTGCTCCTACCCCTTCATCTGTTTTGTGAACAGCCGATTTTGCTGTTTGCTACGGAATTACTTAATTGGTCAAAATTCCACCCCGAGTATTTTGGATCGGGTGACAAGTTGGTGAAACGCATGTATTTTGTGACTCATTTGTATAACTTAGATTCGAACACCAACTTGGTCACTTGATCATAAATAGTGACAATTCGCGAGTAGACGTCTGAGAGGGAAATGGAATACA